AATTGAATTTTCAATTCAAATATAATAAAAAGCATTATACTGTATGCCAGAGATCTATGGAAATGCTAGTTATACCGATATTTAAAAGATCGCTACTAGTTTTTGATTAAAGATAGTGCTCAGAGAAAGTTATGAATTTTCATAATATTGATAATAAATTATTAAGCACTCAACGATATATATATACATTTATCATACATGTGTCGCTCCCTATACTACGGTTAATATTATTACAAGTAAAAAGACATAAGATAGAGTTTTGCCGCAATTGCGAAAGAGGCGGTTCACGGTATGTCAACATCACGGTATACAACTGACCTGGTATCAGCAGGTTGTGATGGTTGATTTTGCACATGTTCTTCTTCTTCTTCTTCTTGTTACTATTATTATAAATGGACAGCATAAAAACATAATTATACTATATGAAATGTTGACGCTGATTCAGTAACATAAGGTCGTATTGTACACACTGAACCCAATTTAACGTTAAAAGTACTCTCAGGTCAGAGTGCATATATTTGGGAAGAATGTAGTGGTTTCTCACTAGGGTCTTGTGGTTGAATAGAGTAGTATAATGGAAGGTAAACCAACACTTGCACCCTGTCAAGCGTTAAAGTAACGTCGCTTATATGTGAAAGAATCCACCCCAAGGCAGCTGGAGTCTTTTTTCCTTCAGTGATTTAAAGACCACAGTGCAGCATACAAAAACTGGATTCGTTATGTCAAGGGGTATTATGGTATACACGAAGCTGTCCCTCTTTCACAAACGGTCATTAATTTGGTTAAGGAGTTTGAACTGTCCGGCTGTCTGCTTTCCTACCCACGGGGCAGAGCCTGGGTTCATAAGGAAAGAGCTACGCATGTGTAGCCCGAAAACTGGTCTAAACATTTACATAAAAAATTTTAGGCTATTTTGACCAAACATAATTCAGCAGTAGTCCAGTTATAAGAGATACTGTACCTATTAATTTATATATTAAAAAAAAAAAAAAACATTCCTCATGATTTAGGCCAACGCTTATTTTATTTAAATAAACAACAATATGGATTTATTAAAAAATTTTTTGGTCTAAAAGTTAAGACCCATTTCCAAGCTATAGCTCATTTGCAAAACCCACCCTATCTATCTCTTTCAGTCTATCCGAACGTACAAATCAATTGTATTCGATGTCAATGTACCACAGCTCTTGCCAAAGCACAATCATTGCATTAGGTATGAAGATGTTGGTTGTGTTTTGTGTGATACAGTTTTTGGGCGTAAATGCGATAGTTGTGACAAGTTCTTGGCAACATTAAAGTGTACTTCACAACCGACAATATATACAACCAGTGGCTATAACCAAATATCTTAACTATCAACAGTTATGGTTGGTCAAAAGTTTGTATAGCTCACACAAAGGTGGCAAAAAAGGCCAATCATAATGCCACTTTGTAAAGTATACAACTCATAGATTAAACAAAGGGGTTTCGATCACACTTCATATGGCATTTTATGTGAGAGCTTTGCAAAGAATAAAAATATAAAATCTTCGCTTTCTTTTATACTATTTTTGTATGCAGAAAGCTATCCCGTTTTAGTGCCGCCTTTTGTGTATTCGTTAGAGGCATATACCGCCTCCTTTTTTTCAGAACCTGCGGTCAAAATTAGGGCGTCTTCGAATGTGCAGTAGCTGTCTCTTACGGTAGATTGTTTGAAAGAGACACAGTTTTAGGAATATGATATATGATATTATAACAACCAACTTAATAAAATTTCAACAGTAGAAGCTAGAAGCGGCATTTCGAAATGATTTCATTCATTCAGAAAAGCATCATTACCGGTAGTATACATTTCCCTGACAATTTCCAAGTTTTCATATTGAATATGCGTGACAGGTAATTTTGTCTCAAAGGAAAGTCGCCTCCCCTAAAATTGACTGCAAAGTGATCTAAGATAATAAGATCGGTTGGCAATCATGCAAAGGTTAATTGCATAAAATGCAGGTATCAAAGATCTCTAGCATGTACGAATAGTATGTAAATCTTGAGTTCACTATGATGGGTAAAGTAAATAACACGCTATCATATCATGCATGAATAATAAAATGGATTTTAGAGATTCAGCACAGAGATTCTGTCGATGGCGGCAACAGTTGGCAATGATTTCATAATGAATCTGTTGCGCACGATTTTAACGTAATCCGTATGCATAAAACACAAACACAACAAGCCATACTTAATCTAAATATCGGCCGCCTCGCGATATCCGAACTTTGATACAGTTTTCACGTTGAACATAACGCAGTGAAATCACTGATCGCGTATTCTCCACCAAACCTTATTTTTCTTGGCGTTTTCATTATAAACTCAATACCATTTCCACATCTGAAATCTTTTCAAAACGTCGTAACCCCAAGCAAAATCCAAGATTAACAAAAACCGTTCTATTTTGCCCTTTCGCCACCAGAAGTGTCAGTGCTAATTTTTGCATTGCAAAGCTTTTTTTTGTGAAGTTTTCCAGTTTATTAGATATTCTAAAATTAATAAACTGCAGCATTGCTCTGCCATACCTTTTCATTGCTTTGCTTTATTTTTGGATTGGTTTTTGCCCTTCACTTTTTACGAGTGATAGAGCAGTCTTGAAATGGATTGGACAAGTAAGTGAAGTCTTGGTTTGACATCCAAGTGAACGATTTATTGTGCAAGCCAACATCAATTCAGTCTGTAATGAAAAAACGACTAAAAACGATTTAAACTAAATTGAAAATGATTTTCCCAGGATAACTGATGCCGATTATATTCCTACTTCATGTTTTCTCTGTAATACAACGAAGAGCACATAATTTTACTTTTCATGGTGGTATTGTTAACATAGGTTATTGCGTACACAATGAGAAGACATGAAAGCTTAATGCAAACGGAAATACGTAGATTCATGAACCATACGTTCTTTCTCGAGAGCTGCATGTAGTTTATTAGCATGTATACATACTTGGCAAAAAAGTCAGTATCTGTTTAATGTATCATTGGTTATAGCTTATCTGACAATTCTCTTAAGTCATTCATAAAAAAACTGACAATGGGTTTTTAATTTCTTTTTAATTAATTTTTTTCTTCTGTGAAGAGTAATTGCAATCACACTAACAAGTCAAATTCTAGGAGCTGCTACAGTTGTATCCTACCTGCTCCTGAACATTACGCAAAGCTCTAGTCTTCCCCCCTCCCCCTCAACCTCCTTTAACATCAAAGGGCTACAGCTTTTTTTAATGTTTATGCTTCATATATATTTTCTTTTTTCCTTTTTTATTTTGTAGATTTGTGAATGAAAAGGTTAATTCGGCCCTGAGATGTTTTTGAGTCGCAAACATGGACATGCACTTTAATCAGTAATACGCGAAAAGGTTGATTGATGGTGTGCTAACAAATCATCAAATAACAATCTGAAGTATTATTGCAACGGTAATTTCATTTCGTCGTCGAGTGTTTACAAGTTGCAAGGTTCACAAACAATAATGTACATCGTTTGTCATTTTTTTATGAATAGGGTATAAATTTCCACGGTTCTTGCACACGATACTAAGACAGCTTTTACATTTTCTGGTTTTGGTTTCTTTTTAATATCGTTTTGGTAACTGTAGAATCCCACCTTTAAAGGCATTCCGTCATCCTTCAAAGCTTCTTATCTTCCTCAATTTCGAACTTAAAAACGACAAATCCTCTCGAATAAAATTTTATCTGAAATGTTCATTCTACCGGATGACACTATTTCCTTTTGAACGTATGAACCTCGCGAGATCCAAATCTTGACATCTTTCGACTTCACCTAAGAAATCGTAAATATTATACAAGGCTATGATACAGGGCGCTGCGTCAGTTTCTTGCTTTTAAATGAAAACTAAGTAATTTCCGATTTTGAGCGGTGCATGTATACTGTCAGGAAGACGGACAGCGGTCTAAATTATTAGGGGTAACCTTAAGAAGTAAATTATTTAACAAAAAATGGCATAAGACATCAAATACAGGTGCAGGGACGAGCAATGACTATCGAGTAGGAGAAATTTGCTTTTTTCTCTCTAAGAAAATTCGATTTGGCACAAGATTGCGGAAAGGATACACCCACTCTTAAGCAGGTGGGTGATGACGTCATTTTTGCGTAAAGTTTCTCGCTGGACACAAAATCCTCACAGTGCAAACATGTGAGTTAGCCAGAAAAAATATCTGTTCATATGTAGTGAAAAAATAGCTTTGGGCCTGCTCTTCTCTTTTGCCTTTCTCCACCCCCTTGCTCTGAATCAAAGCTAAAGCAAAAGCAAAACACACCTAGGTGACTTCGGATTCCAGTAAAGAGATCGTATCAGATCGTGCGAGAAACGGGAACAACGACATTGATGGTTTTCAACTTTTCGAGTAAATGTTTTCGAGTAGATGCACACAGAAACCGAACACCAAAAACGCGGGGTTTTAATATGAAACGTGACTCGCAGTGCTATGCGATATACCCGAAGTTTGAGATAAAAATAACTTTTCAAAAGAACCAAAATTTCTATAAGCAATGGGTAGCTTCATTGCACATGAACTAAATGCACGTTTCCTAGAATCTTATTTGTGTCTTGTTATTATAAGAGGAAACTCATTGACCTAAGCTATTGGTGCATGCACCTAAACTAAGTAACATCGTTCATATGGTTAGAATGTTGACTAAAGCAGCAGTAGCAGTATTTTAACTATTTGTCTGAACGCCGATACAGGTACCGCTTTTTCTCGCTGAATTATTGAATATTTATTGATTTTTATTACAGCGTTCGTGCGTTTCTGCATTAATTACACTTGTTTACCTGACATATTTCAAATCTCATTATGAAACAACAGATACATAGATACCTTAAAACAAACACAAGTTATGGTGTTTTCTTCGGTATCTGGAAAGTTTCTTTCAATCTCGGATAGTATCTGCAACGGCATTTCGAGATTAGCAATCAATTGTTTCGACTTCCTTGTCTGTTCGACTTTCTTTGTCTGTTTACACTGCTAAGTTTACGCCACAAAACATATCGGGTTCTGAGAAGTTCCATTTGTGACGTCGCCAGTTGTTCGTAGCAACCAGGCGTTTTAAAAGAGTCCAGCAAAGGTCTGAAACTGTGCATACACATTTCATTTGGATCACCGACCAGCGGCTACGGATGGCCGGGTGGTTATTACGTACGATTTACGGCGTCAGATCAGGAACACAACAAACATTTTAATAAGTTAACTTGGCATGAGAACGAGATTAATGATTGAATAGATATTTTCTGAAACAGACACACTCCAAGATGCGTGGTCGTAGAGTCTTCACCACAATCCCACCGCAATTTGTGGCTTGCCATTGAGTACGCTCAAGCGTACAACTGAAGACACACTTGACAGTGCGCGGAAGACTAACTTGGTAGAACATCTGTCAACACTCATCTTCCAACTATGAACAGCACATGTGAATGTTTAAACACTTCAGCGGTGACAAGTGCAACAGACCCAAGCGTGGCCGCAATCAACGCAGCTGCGGAAATATTATATTCCGTGTTTCCTTTAGTGTTTCTAGTTTTTGGATCCGCGGGAAATATCTTGGCGTTTGTCGTTGTTCTACGGAAACCGCTTCGCCATAGTTCTTCAACACTCTACCTGGCGGTTTTAGCCATTGCCGATTTGGGTACACTTTGGTTTGGCCTCTCTAGACACATATTGTTGGCTTTTTGGGACCTCGATATTCGAAAAATACACTCATCAATCTGCAAATTACAACCGTTTTTGCTGTATTCCTGTCTTGACTATTCAGCTTGGATTTTAGCGGCAGTCACAGTAGAACGGTTCATCTCCGTGCATTTTCCACTAAGAGCCCACGTACTGTGTACTCGAAAGCGTGCCCGGTCTGTTGTGCTGATCTTGGCCCTTCTGGTTATGCTTAAAAACTTTCACGTTTTTATCACTCGGGGAGACGAGTATACATTTGACGCCAATGGCACCTCGATTGACTTAAAAACTAGCTGCGGTTTTCCATTAAAGGAACATAGGTATTTCTGGGTGAACATTCTTCCCTGGATTGTTTTCCTGTTTTACGCAGTTGGACCTTTCACCATAATACTCACCATGAACATTCTCATTATCAGGAAGGTGCTGAAATCGCGTAAGGCCAGGAAGGGTCTCACCATGCTCGTCCTTACTTCTGGCAGGATGGCTAATGGTGCAAACCAACGCACAAACGGCAGAGGCCATAATAAAGGTTTGGGAAACAGCGAGGCGACACAAACCACCGTTATGCTGATTACAGTGTCCCTGGCATTCCTCCTACTGGCAACGCCGAGTTTTCTTCATGGTATACTGGGGCCTTACTGGAGGAAGCAGATAACGAACCCACACGGGGAAGCAATGTACAATCTAGTTCGAGTCCTGGTTCTGTGTCTTAACTATACAAACCACAGCATTAACTTTATATTGTATTGCATCAGCGGGAAACGGTTTCGGACACAGGCGGTCATTCTGTTGACCTGTGGCGCGAGACAGGAGAGACGGTCGAACGTCCAGTCTGGGACGGCAAACACCACGGCACGCAGAGGCCAAAAGAGACAAACCCTTGAAACACAGCTTACCTGTGTGAGTACCGTGACTTTAGACACTCCGCTTTGATAACCAGGCGTTGTGACTGACATTCAATTAATGCAGCGCCAGACTGACCATTATTTCGTTACCTGCATACCTTAAATTTGTAACGTTGATGTAACTTCAGATTTAAATTCCCTTGATTTGTGTATACTATATGTCTTGCACACATAATGCAGAACTTGCAAATGTGAAAATGTACTCAGACAATTGTAAAAATAAACAGAATATTGATGTTTGACAAAATAAAAACGTCATTTGTCATCTTTCTACATAAAAGTAACTGGAGGACTAGTTAGCCCGAATCGCTGTGATGCTGTAAACAATTCGCGTTCTGGTCGCCAAGTCCTTTTCCAGGAATTGAACCTATAATGCTGCACTTAACCTAATTACATCCGACCAACATTAATTGTGCCAAAAATGCCATCAAAAGTTAACCGTCAGATATTAATGTTTTCTTGGAACGAAAATATTAAATAACCTATTGTGCCAATGTGGTGTCTTAAAGTGTACATGCAAGTGATTTGGGTGGGAAAAGAATGCCACTTCTCGCCTTTTTCATTGGCGGTATTGGCCTTTAAAACCTTCTATACTGAACGATTTCTCACTGGCAGTATATTGTAAAGGGCTTTAATCTATCTTACATTGTGGTAATTGTTTTGGTGAATCGTCTTACACATGGCGGTGGTTTGGATATTCCCTCTGGTAGTATATTGTAAAGGGCTTTAATCTATTTTATATTGTGGTAATTGTTTTAGTGATTCGTCTTACGCATGGCGGTTGTTTAGTCTTCACGGCTATACAGGTACACATGTCTACCCCTTTTGACAGACAAACGAAAAATATGAGGGGGTCTAAGATCTTGAGCTTCATTAATTTTTCTGTTTTTATAATGCTGTATTCTTCTTATAATTATTATTTTCGTGCTGATGTGACTTCTTTATTCCATATAAGTTTCCTGGTTTTGTTCCGTGTTCCTACAGCATTACCTCCCGCAGCTCCCCTCCGAGCGTGCGCACACACGCACGCACACACACACACAAAGAGAGAGAGAGAGAGAGAGAGAGAGAGAGAGAGTACTCTAGCCGCGAAATCGACACACCGCCAACTGAAGATGAATTAATGAAAATGCGTTTTGAACGTGTGCTTTTGTATGATTCACATAATGCAGCCATCTAAAGGTAATGCTTTTTTTTTTGTAAATTTTGTATCGTACCTTCATGAACAGAGGCAAATATATAGACGCATGGTGACATATTTGTTCGTTTTTCTACAGCATTGCAAATTTGCCCGTTCTACCTGTAGTGCACAATGATTTTTTTCTCGGCTACATTTTTTATTCCAAAGAGATTTTGCCCACATTCCAGCCTCATTACTACCTGAAATATGCATGCTCAATTGACGACTTTTGCTTTCAAAAAAGTTCGTATTTTCTAAGACGCCTACACCGCATATCAAGAAACTGAACCAATCGTTTAAAAAGCCAAACTGAAAAAAATCTTTACTCTAGCTTTTTATTGGATTATCACCTGAATACAAAGGTGCCTTTGTTTGTGATTACAAATTTATGTCCATTGCCCTCTTGAGCGTCTTCATAGTCAAATCAGTCGTAGGAATTAAACTTTTTTAATACGAGCTTGTTTTTTTGTTTACAAAAGGCACTTAAAAAGTCATCCAAGAAAATATGATACATAAATAGGCTTCTTGGGCTATCAACAAAGAGTACTAAAAGGTGCAGTTTATTTTGTCAAATTAAGAGTATGAAATTATTTTCTAAGCAATAATTAACTCTTGGGTTACTGACATCCGTCAGGTATTTCCCATTCTTGTTCACAGGTGTCCGCATTGTGCGCAATCCCCGAATGAGCAACGTAGTTCTTTTCAGATATTGCGGTTGAATGCAACTGACAATTTTTCAGATCGAATCTCTAAATGGATTATCTAGGAATGCTTTTAGCTTATTTTTCAGTTATCCAGTTATACAATATTTTGTTTTTTCTGACGCGAGTGTCATGTTGCACGCAAACCGCAATGGTGAACACATAATAAAAGCGCGAACTAATTTCTTGAAAATTTGCAATAACTTTTCGTGATTTATCATATTCTGTCTGTTATTGAGATATTTGTGTACTTAAAAGGAAACACAACCCACACACATACCCATTATTCAAGGACGGTATTTGAGTGCATATTTTTAAAAATGTGCCTGTGGAAAAAAAAAGATTTTTCGTTACCTGTTTTTGAGATGAGAAGTATGATTATCGAAAATTATTTTTAAATAACGACAACTACTGTAGTGTTTGAAATTATGAAGAAAATAACCTATGTCGAAGATGCGTGTCTCTGGGTCTGTTCACACACAGGGCAAACTGAAATTTATCTTGACTGCGTCAACTGACGTCACCAAATGACATCATAACGTACGTATAGGTACCTCAACACGCCTTGAAACTCAATTCAATTCAGTTCATTCCAGCACTGGTACATAGAATAACGTGGCCTTGCATAACATAAAAATAATAAAACAAAATGTGAATGAGCAAATATACCTTTATACAATGGGCAGATGCACTACTTAGATTATTTGTATAATTTTCTTACTAAATGGCAAGATGCAACTTCTTGGTATGTTTACAGATATATCATAAACCCAATTCATGGAGTATACATTTACAAACGTATGTAACATACTATCAAAAATTTAAATTTGCAAAGGACATGCTAGAAGGTACTGAGTACAGCAATTACTTCACTTCTTTTATTTAATGATTTCATTATAAAATTGGACCTGGAAACTTTGTAAGCACTGTAAACAACTTTGTATAATTTACTTTTGGGTGATCTAGTATCAGTTTTTAGACAGATTTTACTAAAGAAAGTTTCTCGGTCTGTTTTATACATCGGGCATTGAAAGTATAAAATGGCATTCGTCTTCAGTCTTTAAAAGCCCCATGCAGTGACATGATACAATTTAACAGTCTATACTCTAGGTTGATGAGCGACGAGCGTTTAAACGGACACAATGATTATCTTGTGACAAGTGGGTGTGCTGTCAGTCTTAACTCCATGAATACGAAGTGCGTGGTAATTTAGAAACACAATACCAACAGTATCGTGCCACGACGTTATTAGTATGCTTCGCAGAGCGAACAGAGATAATACGTACAAAAACGTACTCAGGAATGGCGGATTCCCCTAGTCCGACAAAATCTTGTTTTCTTTTGTCAATCCGGTTATTTCATAGTATTCTATTTAATTTTATTTTATCCCATCATTATTTCTTTCAAGAAATATTTCTTTTGCAGCAAAGGAGAGGAAGGGATGCAAAAATTGCGATTCATTATTTTACTACCCCCCCCTCCCCCGCGTACCAGGTTAGGGTCATCATTCATTTAATTAAAATCTAAGACTGGGCTTAGCTGTACAAACCAATGGGAAGTGCCCCTCGTATCAAAGGGAGCTCTCGAAGACAAGACACCGGTCACTGCCCTGATTCAACTAAAATAAATGATATTCCACTATCGCGGCACTCCCGGTATTTTTTGACTCTATGATTTTTGAAGTTTCACCAGGCAGGCGCATGCTCACAACAAGTTAGTATTCAAATTATCGCTAGAAGAGTGCCCTTGGTCAACCTGTCCTGTAAGATTAATATTTTTATGTTATTCTACGACCTCATCTGTCACCTGAGGTTACTACATCTGTATACATGTACATGTACATGTATTACTCTCACCTACACGTTCGACCTATCACACACAGAAAGCGATGTCTTAATTTCCCATAGGAGTCAAAGCTCTGTGAAACCGGGCTATTGAAGAAAAGATACCGAATAGGCACTTTTGTATCCCTCGAATAGCAATGTTTGTGCGTGATTATACAATTTATCATTATCTGGTATATCGTTTAAATTATATTATACGAGACTGACTTGAAGTGTATGAGTTTAGCCTGTTTCATGATTACCTGACTACACAGGATCCTTGATCCATTCCCATACCTAGATCAATCTAGCAGGGTCGACCAAACTCCGAGAGGTTCTCGCTAAATTACATCCAACTTAAGCGGCTCTGGTGTCTGGCACGCCTACTGAAGCTGTTATCTATCGTTTAGCGGTTTTAGTAGGCGTGCCAGACATTTAAGCCACTTTAATCTGAATGCAATTTAGCGAGAATCCCCTCGGAGATTGGTCGATGCTGCTAGATCAATCTAGGTATGGGAATGGGGTCTTTGCATTTTTATTCCATCCCTACGACAACGTAAGTTGAAATATCATTTACAAAGTATTAACCTGGTCGTTATATGTCTTCTATTATTCAATAAATAAAAAAAAAAAACAACAACATATTTTCACACTGCAACAGACACTTAACAACTTATTAATGGAGTTTCGGGACTTGATCACCATCGACGCTAAAATAAAATTGTTTTCATTATTTTATCATTATCTTTTTACATGTCATTTAATTTCTTTATTTTTGAAGTGACGGACTGTTACTCCCAGTGCACTATTTTTGGAGAAAAGGGCGAGGTCTAATTTGATGCAGATTTTTTGTTTAAGAAAGGAGTAGCAGTGGCCAGTCTCCTGTGTTTGCATTAAAGATCTTTAAGTTAGGTGAAAGCCTTGATACACTATAGCTATATGTTACCGACAAAATGTTGTGAGACAATTTAAGGGCCGTTCTTGATTCCCAAGAACTCATATTATCATCAGCTTTTCTGTATTCTACTCAATGGCAGGAGGAGGCATGTTAATCTGTTAATCTGATTGCATTCAGCAAGAGTCCCCGTGGAGTTAATGTGCACTAGCTAGTACGATAGATTCATTGGGCGCATTCAGATTCACACATCGTACAAGCTGGGTCGGTTCAACTTTGTGGGAAATTCTTGCTATAATGTAGTCAGTGGAATAAGCATAATCAGCACGCAATGGTTTTAACTAATAAAAAAAACCATAAATGCTCGAAAAGGCGTGTCAGACGATTAAGCTGATTCAACTGATTGCACTTTAGCGAGACTCCTCCACAGAGTTAGACCGGTCCAGCTAGCACGATATGAGAAGCTAAATGCAGTTACTGGTATACAATTAGGTTCAATAAATGTTAACAAATTATCATTTGAATAGCGTATTCAGAACGATAATGTTCTTAAAAAATTTTTTGTATACAACCTAATAAGCCTCATGAATAGACCCTGCTTGAGATGGTGTTGTTACTGTTAAATAATTCAGAAAAACTGGGATGGGAGAGGGGGAGGGTATTCGAGGTTAAGACTTTAACCACTGCATAAGGGAAGCGATACATTTTCACAATCTTCATCCCTACATATACAAACGTGCTAACACACGCGCACGTGCATCTACTCCTGCCCCCCCCCCTCACACATAACACACACACAAACAAATCTATATATTTCTCCTCTAAGGCAATCCAACTCACCACAAGTACACGCGCGTCTCCTAAAATATCGATTGGGTCGACATTCTAACAGCTGATTAATTAAATGTGTCGCCAAAATTAGTAGGGCGCCAGATAGGCACAATTGTCATCAATACTGTCAACAAAGTGCCTCTGTGAACGACGTAACGAAAACAGTGCCAGCATTTTATAGGTATTCGATCGCATTCTTATATACGGCGTAAGTCAACAGGTGAGCTTAATCTGATTGTGTAAACTTACGAAGTGAGAATAACGATGCCTTCATTAGCCCTCAAATAACATGTGGTTGTTGTATTTGTCGATTTTCAAAATGCCTTGATTTCGTCATGTAACAGGCGTCTTCGGCCTCTAAACAAATGCAGAGGCGGAAAGGGCATGGAGTGAATGGGGATCACGTCTTACATTTAATTAATACAATTCGCTGGTCGGTGTTACAGTCCCCGTAGTAGGACACCGCAGTAGCAACACTTTCAATGGGCTGATACACACCCTAACATCGTGGGTAGATAAGGATAATAAGGTTTTTAGGAATAAAAAACCATGATGCGAAGAGAAGGAACCAGGTCAAAGTCGGCGGGTGAGTTTTTGAGCATCTTTGAGGGAAATACTCCTTTAGTCCTTTTTTTTAAATAAAAAAGAGGTCAAAATTGAATAGAAGAATTGAGGAGCCTTTATATTGAATTCAGTTGTGATTCTTCGATTTATAGACATTTAGACTTATTATGTAGATATATTATTATTAAAATGATAAAGATTAGGCAATGGCTGTAATATACGAAAAACGCATCCCAATAAACATGTTACAAAAACTTTAGTATCACTGTTGCAAGCTATTATGCAAAGAAATCTAAACGTACACGTCCTCCCAGTTCAGTGTAGAGCTTTTTAGGCTTTGTCGACCTGATTCATTCTAACTCTACCATGTATTATTCAGGCACAGATTTTGGTCCACTGCGAGATGTACTGTCACAGGCCCTAATGGCCAAGAATCATGTCCGAATACGCGCCTTTGTTGACAGATACTGGCCTTTTCTGCCAACCATCGCAGGTTTGCCGGACAGTACAGGTCGCTGTAACATCGGTAGGGCAGCAAAGTGCGGGCTAGTGGGTGCCGTTGACGCGTTCATATCTGCCGGGGTGGACGTTAACGCCAAAAGCATCTCTGGATGGTCGCCTTTGATGTACGCCGCCGGTGCTGGCGAGCAAATATTGGTGGAGAAACTGATCAGAGCTGGTGCCAATGTGCACGTCCAGGAGACAGGTGGCGCCACCGCCTTGTATCTTGCCTGCCAGAAGGGACACGCCGGTATCGTGAGCAAGCTGCTTAGAGCAGGGGCGGATGTTAACCAACAGGTCTCTGATGGTTCGAGCTGTCTGTATATCGCCACACAAAAAGGGCACAAAAACATCGTGCAGATACTGCTTTCAGCTGGAGCAGACGTTAATTTACTAACAGATAACGGTGCTAGCAGCCTGTACATTGCATCTCAAAACGGACATTTAGAACTAGTGAAAATTCTGTTGGAACAGGGAGCTGATGTGAACATTCAGAAAGACACTGGGAGCAGCAGCTTGTACATAGCCTCACAGAACGGCCACGAGGACGTCGTCAAGGTACTATTAGCAGCAGGGGCTGATGTGAATTTGAGGAAAAACATAGGCACAAGCTGCCTCCACATTGCGTCACACTTTGGGCACACGGGTGTGGTCGAGGCTCTGTTAGAGGCAGATGCAGAGGTGAACGCTAAAACAAAGTCAGGGAAAACAAGTCTGCAAATAGCAAGACAAGAAAACCATAATGACATCTGCGTCTTGCTCAGGGCGACCGGGGCTAAAGAATGATGGCCGTCTTTGGGAAACGGCTTGAGAATTTATTTGGGTACAGTGCGAATTATATTCCAAAGACTATTAAGCTACCACTCGCATCTTCTCGTCCAGTCACGAAATAACCGAAGATGATATTCGAGATTGTTATTTAAAGTTCTCACGTTTATTTATTGAGGAACACATTTTTTGTGGTCTAAATGCTTTTAGGTTATATATGCCGTAGGCGGTTTTTATCACATTTAAACTGTTTATAATACTTGTGCCATGTTTTTCCAAAGTACACAATTTAGCCTTCCATTTTCATTAGTACAACCACTGTAGCACTACATGTACAAATAAATCAATTTTCTATTTGATTGAAAAAAATCGGTCGGTCTGGTCAAAAGCCTTAATCGTGGTTATCAAGAGTCCTTGTGCGTGCTCCAGCTGTATACAGCCTTCTTGTACGATCTGATTTTCTGGTTAGTTTTACGGTATTATATATACTGGTTTTTATTGACATTTTTTTTCGAGAATAAAATCCATTAGCACAAAATTACGAATAATTGCTCGTCACGCGCCTGTACTTGGATACGATATTTTGGATTGTTTTTAGTTGAATAACTTGGTTCTAAACAAAGTATGATTCATTTGGAAACTTATTCTAACCAGTTGTGAGAATAGGGCATATTGTAACAGGTGGGCCGTATAAGCTGTAAAGTATGTAAAATATTGCAGAAACCAACAGATTTTCTGAAAAAAATCTCAACGATAAGGATATGATTAAATCTTATATTATTTGCACGTTTTTGATAAAAAGAATTAATTGAAGTATAAGTTTGCGAACACATCATGTAAACCTAGTCATCCACCGCAACCGGCCAACGGACCATTTTCTAATGAATGTAGAATCCTACGTTCATACACGAAAAAGCACAACCTGATAGCGCAAATGTACGACATTCCCACATCAATCCTACCTGTGTAATTTCCAAAGGTGAATTCAGGTCTGTGAAGATTTATAATGCTTTTTACATCCTAAAACTAAATATTTATTTGCAAGAAACCCAAGGATATACCCATGAAAGGTGTTAAAAGGAGAGTGGGAACGTTATGCACACGACACTTATTAATTTGGGGTGCATGCGGCATGTAAGTTTAGATCTTTATGAATAAGCTTATCTAGAAGATACACAAAATTTAAATAAGTTAAATAATCATCACACCGAACAGCACAAGTCCATTAAACAATGCATCTACAAAATTTCTACGGCCTACCTGTACGTAGTCTATAACGTATCCTTCAATATCGTTTCAAATTACAACTGCGAACTGCGAATGTAATTTATTTTTAAAGACTTTCTTTTAAAAGATGTAAAAAAAAAAGACCACACTAAATGTGCCAATTTTTCGTAAGTCGTCCGTAGAAAGCATATCTTTTTGACCATGCAGAATAATTCATACCTTGACTTCTAACCAATAGGAAGGCCTGTGACGACCCGATATGTCCGACAGGCCAGAAATGTCCTACGACCAGAGAAGACCAGATATGTCCGACAAAAAAGAGCCAGATGTGTCCGACTGGCCAGACATTTTACCACAAAAACGGCAATTATAGCAATTAATCTGAAATTTGTGCTTGTCATCAGACCACGTGACCTCCATAGATGGCAATACTCTGCAATAATCTCTTAAGAGATTATTACAAAAAAAAAAAACAAAAAAAAACAGGGACTAATTTTGAATGTAGAAATGGATTCATTAACTATTGGTAAGTATGGGAAAAATGCTGTTTACCCCAGGAAAATTCATTTTTGGGCCAAAATGAACAGTTGTTATCCCTTTATTTATACCCCCTAGCAGCTTCAGACATCAGAGCCGCTTAAGCCGAGTGCAATTTAGAGAGAATCCCCTCGGTGATGGACCTTGAATCCGTAGGATTTCGTATAAATTTATACGTATATTGTCTGCCTAAGCACGGGTCACTGCACGGAAAGAGATATGCTGGCTGTATGCAGGCACCACACGGACGATGCATGGCAAATGTGACAGTAGTAAATCGGTCAGTAGATCACACCACATTACAAAGGAGCAACGCTAACGATAAACGCTTGGCCAGCTTGTGTGCTTGAATCGCGTGATGTGGTATAAAATACAAGGGTAAAAAATACTTTTACAGAGAGCACTTTTTTATTATAAAAGTATTTATTGTTATTGAGCCAATAATTCGACCGTCGAATTGAGCCGAGATTTAATTACTGTGCCCCTGCAGGGACGACGCGTGGGGAGGCGTGGAAGAGGCGGAGAGACCATTACAGGATTAAGCGGTCTTCCTTTCATGTAGGTCCGCCATATTTAGGCCGTGGACCAGCAAGCACTCGGCTCTTCTCATTCTGAATGGCCTCTAACAATACCAGACGAGTATGGACCACTGAACAAAAGTCAGGGATGTGGAACAAACCATTTGAATAGTGCGCATAGCTATAACAAGTTTGGACAGAATGTGAAGTTAAAAGAACATTATTTTCATGTTATGTTGTACAAGGCCATGTTAATCTTTGTACCGGTACAGGAATGAACTGAATTGAATTGAATTTCAAGGCGTGTTGAGATACCTACGTTATGATGTCATTTGGTGACGTCAGTTGACGCAGTTTAGTCAAATTTCTGTCCAAGTCTGTCCTGTTTGTGAACAGACCCAGGGACGCATTTTCGACAAAGATAAGTTCCTTCATAATTTCAAACACTATGTAGTTGTTGTTTTTTTTTTTAAATATTTTTCGATCATCGTACATTTCAAAACCAGATAACGAAAAATCTTTTTTTTTTCAGCAGGTACATTAAAAAATGTGCACTCATATACCGTCCTAGGTGTGTATGGGTTGTATAGTGTTTAGATTGCTGACATCTGCAATTTAAATTCTGCCCGACAAATTTGAAGGGCGATAATGTCTTCTCTTGGACTGGGTTCACATGCCTAGATCGATCCATCTAGATCGGTCTAACTCCCTGGGGTATCTCACTAAATTGCTACCAACTAACCGGCTTAAACGTCTGTCACGCCTACCGAATCAGCTAGGGGGGTAAAGATAACTACCCCCTAACATCTGTACTAGGCGTGACAGACATTTAAGCCGGTTAAGTTGATAACAGTTTAGTGAAACTCCCCAAGGAGATAGATCGATCCTAATATCTGTGGGAATAGCCCCTTGTACATAATTTTTGCATTATTTCTGTCTAGCTTTCTTCGGTAATAGCATTCCTTTTTTATTGGAATCTCTTCTGTTTAAAACAGTGAAAGATAAGTCAGTCGTTTTTCATCTATCGTAACCCATCTAAAAGGTATGCGTTCATTCCCATTATGGCGTTTTAAAAAAACATAGTAACAGATGTATTGAAAGGGCTGAACCAATTCCTTCAAACAATCTTTTCATTTACTTTATGTCCTGTAAATTTTGTTAACATTCTATTTTCTGACGTTGCTTCAGAGATGAAGTGATCTCTGTCAACGTTTAATTGTATACACAGCAGAAATGACTTCATTTTAGTCAATGAATCACCATGCAGATAAAGAAAACGAGAGCTTAATTCTCAAGTGAAAGGAGACGAGAGTGAACGGTATTGTAGAATGAATTGAAGATGGTTCATTTATTTTCTGTACAGTTTGTATAATTCCGATTTCAAATGTCTTTTATGCAAGCGACTCTCAAGTGACTCTCAACAAGTGACAAAGGATTGCCTCTTTACCAGAAATGATCTAATTCAAAATATCTGAGTGATTACTGAACTTATTAGTCTATGCCCAGAAAGACTGTGGCCATGCTGAGATCACGTGGCTATCCTACAAAATGCTGGTCTGTAAACCTGTAGTAAAGATACTAACTTGGCGTAACATGATTTCAATACAACATTAATTGAAAACCTGACAAATCCAACTATTGTTCATTTAAAAGCACAATGGTGCAATGCTTTTGTCACCCCCTGTAGGCCTACGTTGTTCTATCCAGAATTCTATAAACCTTTTGCATCAGCATTACTATTCGCAGCAGTACAGTAAAATACTAGTAGCTGTCCATAAATTTATGTAAAATTCAGCGTAAAATCTTATTTTATGACACCAAGGAAATGTGTTCACGGACAGCCAGTTTACACATTGGGTAAGGGTCATTCCACAAAAAAGCGAACATTTTAGCGTCGTTAGTACCTCACACATTTCGTGTACTATTTGTATTACTGTTTCATATCACCTTTTAATTATATTTGATTTCTTTTCATATTGAAGGGTACTATAGTACCAGTAAAAGATAGCAAAAATAATGGATCAAATAAAATTATGCAAGTATTTCACAAAATGTGTGTCTGACGTGACTCAGTTGTCACCTTTTGGTGGAATGTCCCTCGAAGTGACTTTGGTTCACTGCATAGTTCATTTTTAAATTCTGAAAATCACATTTTAACTANGGATAATAAGGTTTTTAGGAATAAAAAACCATGATGCGAAGAGAAGGAACCAGGTCAAAGTCGGCGGGTGAGTTTTTGAGCATCTTTGAGGGAAATAGTCCTTTTTTTATTTTTTAAAAAAAATTAGAGGTCAAAATTGAATAGCAAAATTGAGAAGCCTTTTTATTGAATTCAGTTGTGATTATTTGATTTATAGACATTTAGACTTATTATGTAGATATATAAAAATGATAAAGATTAGGCAATGGCTGTAATATACGAAAAACGCATCCCAATAAACATGTTACAAAAACTTCAGTATCACTGTTGCATACTATTATGCAAAGAAATCTAAATCTACACGTCCTCCCAGTTCTGTGTAGAGCTTTTTAGGCTTTGTCGACCTGATTCATTCTAACTCTACCATGTCTTATTCAGGCACAGATTTCGGTCCACTGCGAGATGTACTGTCACAGGCCCTAATGGCCAAGAATCATGTCCGAATACGCGCCTTTGTTGACAGATACTGGCCTTTTCTGCCAACCATCGCAGGTTTGCCGGACAGTACAGGTCGCTGTAACATCGGTAGGGCAGCAAAGTGCGGGCTAGTGGGTGCCGTTGACGCGTTCATATCTGCCGGGGTGGACGTTAACGCCAAAAGCATCTCTGGATGGTCGCCTTTGATGTACGCCGCCGGTGCTGGCGAGCAAATATTGGTGGAGAAACTGATCAGAGCTGGTGCCAATGTGCACGTCCAGGAGACAGGTGGCGCCACCGCCTTGTATCTTGCCTGCCAGAAGGGACACGCCGGTATCGTGAGCAAGCTGCTTAGAGCAGGGGCTGATGTTAACCAACAGGTCTCTGATGGTTCGAGCTGTCTGTATATCGCCACACAAAAAGGGCACAAGAACATCGTGCAGATACTGCTTTCAGCTGGAGCAGACGTTAATTTACTGACAGATAACGGTGCTAGCAGCCTGTACATTGCATCTCAAAACGGACATTTAGAACTAGTGAAAATTCTTTTGGAACAGGGAGCTGATGTTAACATTCAGAAAGACACTGGGAGCAGCAGCTTGTACATAGCCTCACAGAACGGCCACGAGGACGTCGTCAAGGTACTATTAGCAGCAGGGGCTGATGTGAATTTGAGGAAAAACATAGGCACCAGCTGCCTCCACATTGCGTCACACTTTGGGCACACGGGTGTGGTCGAGGTCCTGTTAGAGGCAGATGCAGAGGTGAACGCTAAAACAAAGTCAGGGAAAACAAGTCTGCAAATAGCAAGACAAGAAAACCATAATGACATCTGCGTCTTGCTCAGGGCGACTGGGGCGAAAGAATGATGACCTTCTTTGGGAAACGGCTTGAGAATGTATTTGGGTACAGGGAAAGAATTATATTCCAAAGACTATTAAGCTACCACTCGCATCTTCTCGTCCAATCACGCGTGAAATAACCGAAGATGATATTCGAGATTGTTATTTAAAGTTCTCACGTTTATTTATTGAGGAACACATTTTTTGTGGTCTAAATGCTTTTAGGTTATATATGCCGTAGGCGGTTTTTATCACATTTAAACTGTTTATAATACTTGTGCCATGTTTTTCCAAAGTACACAATTTAGCCTTCCATTTTCATTAGTACAACCACTGTAGCACTACATGTACAAATAAATCAATTTTCTATTTGATTGAAAAAAATCGGTCGGTCTGGTCAAAAGCCTTAATCGTGGTTATCAAGAGTCCTTGTGCGTGCTCCAGCTGTATACAGCCTTCTTGTACGATCTGATTTTCTGGTTAGTTTTACGGTATTATATATACTGGTTTTTATTGACATTTTTTTTCGAGAATAAAATCCATTAGCACAAAATTACGAATAATTGCTCGTCACGCGCCTGTACTTGGATACGATATTTTGGATTATTTTTAGTTGAATAACTTAGTTCTAAACAAAGTATGATTCATTTGGAGACTTTTTCTAACCAGTTGTAAGAATAGGGCATATTGTAACAGGTGGGCCGTATAAGCTGTAAAGTATGTAAAATATTGCAGAAACCAACAGATTTTCTGAAAAAAATCTCAACGACAAGGATATGATTTAATCTTTTATTATTTGCACGTTTTTGATAAAAAGAATTAATTGAAGTATAAGTTTGCGAACACATCATGTAAACCTAGTCATCCACCGCAACCGGCCAACGGACCATTTTCTAACGAATGTAGAATCCTACGTTCATACACGAAAAAGCAAAAGTACGACATTCCCACATCAATCCTACCTGTGTAATTTCCAAAGGTGAATTCAGGTCTGTGAAGATTTATAATGCTTTTTACATCTTAAAACTAAATATTTATTTGCAAGAAACCCAAGGATATACCCAGGAAAGGTGTTAAAAGGGGAGTCGGAATGTTATGCACGCGACACTTTTATTAATTTGGGGTGCATGCGTTATGTAAGTTTAGATCTTTATGAATTAAATTATCTAGAAGATACACAAAATTTAAACAAGTTAAATAATCATCACACCGAACAGCACAAGTCCATTAAACAATGCATCTACAAAATTTCTACGGCCTACCTGTACGTAGTCTATAACGTATCCTTCAATATCGTTACAAATCATTTCCACAACTGCGAATGTAATTTATTTTTAAAGACTTTCTTTTGAAAGATGTAAAAAAAAATTGAAGACCACACTAAATGTGCCAATTTTTCGTAAGTCGTCCGTAGAAAGCATATCTTTTTGTCCGTGCAGAATAATTTATACCTTGACGTCTAACCAATAGGAAGGCCTGTGACGACCCGATATGTCCGACAGGCCAGAAATGTCCTACGACCAGAGAAGGCCAGAAATGTCCTACTCCAGAGAAGGCCAGATATGTCCGACAAAAAAGAGCCAGATGTGTCCGACTGGCCAGACATTTTACCACAAAAACGGCAATTATAGCAATTTATCTATGCTCGTCATCAGTCCACGTGACCTCCATAGATGGCAATACTCTGCAATAATCTCTTAAGAGATTATTAAAAAAAAAAAAACTTTTTAGAAAAAAAAACAAAAAAACAGGGACTAATTTTGAATGTAGAAATGGATTCATTAACCATTGGTAAGTATGGGAAAAATGCTGTTTACCCCAGGAAAATTCATTTTTGGGCCAAAATGAACAGTTGTTATCCCTTTATTTATACCCCCTATCAGCTTCAGTAGGCGTGCCAGACATCAGAGCCGCTTAAGCCGAGTGCAATTTAGCGAGAATCTCCTCGGTGATGGACCGTGAATCCGTACGATTTCGTATAAATTTATACGGATATTGTCTGCCTAAGCACGGGTCACTGCACGAAAGGAGATATGCAGGCTGTATGCAGGCACCGCACGGACGATGCATGGCAAATGTGACAGTAGTAAATCGGTCAGTAGATCACACCACATTACAAAGGAGCAACGCTAACGATAAACGCTTGGCCAGCTTGTGTGCTTGAATCGCGTGATGTGGTATATAATAGAAGGGTAAAAAAATACTTTGACAGAGAGCACTTTTTTATTATAAAAGTATTTATTGTTATTGCGCCAATAATTCGACCGGTCGAATTGAGCCGAGATTTAATTACTCTGCCCCTGCAGGGACGACGCGTGGGGAGGCGTGGAAGAGGCGGAGAGACCATTACAGGATTAAGCGGTCTTCCTTTTATGTAGGTCCGCCATATTTAGGCCGTGGACCAGCAAGCACTCGGCTCTTCTCATTCTGAATGGCCTCTAACAATACCAGACTTGAGTATGGACCACTGAACAAAAGTCAGGGATGTGGAACAAACCATTTGAATAGTGCGCATAGCTATAACAATTTTGGACAGAATGTGAAGTTAAAAGAACATTATTTTCATGTTATGTTGTACAAGGCCATGTTAATCTTTGTACCGGTACAGGAATGAACTGAATTGAATTGAATTTCAAGGCGTGTTGAGGTACCTACGTTACGATGTCATTTGGTGACGTCAGTTGACGCAGTTTAGTCAAATTTCTGTCCAAGTCTGTCCTGTTTGTGAACAGACCCAGGGACGCATTTTCGACAAAGATTAGTTTCTTCATAATTTCAAACACTATGTAGTTGTCGTTTTTTTTTTTTTTAAATATTTTTCGATGATCGTACATTTCAAAACCAGATAACGAAAAATCTTTTTTTTTCAGCAGGTACATTAAAAAATGTGCACTCATATACCGTCCTAGGTGTGTATGGGTTGTATAGTGTTTAGATTGCTGACATCTGCAATTTAAATTCTGCCCGACAAATTTGAAGGGCGATAATGTCTTCTCTTGGACTGGGTTCACATGCCTAGATCGATCCATCTAGATCGGTCTAACTCCCTGGGGTATCTCACTAAATTGCTACCAACTAACCGGCTTAAACGTCTGTCACGCCTACCGAATCAGCTAGGGGGGTAAAGACATCTGTACTAGGCGTGACAGACATTTAAGCCGGTTAAGTTGATAACAGTTTAGTGAAACTCCCCAAGGAGATAGATCGATCCAAATATCTGTGGGAAAAGCCCCTTGTACATAATTTTTGCATTATTTCTGTCTAGCTTTTTTCGGTAATAGCATTCCTTTTTTATTGGAATCTCTTCTGTTTAAAACAGTGAAAGATAAGTCAGTCGTTTTTCATCTATCGTAACCCATCTAAAAGGTATGCGTTCATTCCCATTTAGGCGTTTTAAAAAACTTAGTAACAGATGTATTGAAAGGGCTGAACCAATTCCTTCAAACAATCTTTTCATTTACTTTATGTCCTGTAAATTTTGTTAACATTCGATTTTCTGACGTTGCTTCAGAGATGAAGTGATCTCTGTCAACGTTTAATCGTATACACAGCAGAAATGACTTCATTTTAGTCAATGAATCACCATGTAGATAAAGAAAACTAGAGCTTAATTCTCAAGTGAAAGGAGACGAGAGTGAACGGTATTGTAGAATGAATTGAAGATGGTTCATTTATTTACTGTACAGTTTGTATAATTCCGATTTCAAATGTCTTTTATGCAAGCGACACTCCCCAGGCACGTGGTTGCCACGCTGGTCTTCTATTTTTATCCTCTTATCCTGAGATATTTGACACGTTTCACCACAGGTCACATTTACGTGGCATTTTACAAAATATTTGTGAAGACTTATCCTCTCTTCGTACGCCACGGCTGTTATTTTTAAAAACAAAAGTGGTTAAAAGTAAGTGTGATACATTAATTTCTAAGTGTATTTCTGCAAGTGGGATTTTTAAGCTTTTAAGTTTTCGGGATCGGGAGGTACAGGCGGGTGATATAAGCATGGCACCATCTGTGTGAATAGTGCTCTATGTGACATGGGGAACCCGTTCGCAAAAACTTCATTGTTTCAACTGTACAACTACTTAGATTAGTAGAGGCCGTACAAATTGCAGAATGAGGTTAGCAAAAGTACTGTTGAAAAAAGGTACCATGCTACATGAATTCACAGCAGGGTTGCCAGGAGAAAGCCACTTATCACCTTTGTAAACAGATGAAGAAGACTGACATGGGCTGCAAGGACCATATTTTCTGATGAGTCCATATTCATCGTTTACAACGTGGGTGGACAGTTGAGAGTATGGAGAACATGATAAACATCTTCTTTGCCACAGTATATGCATTTCCTCATTAGACAGTCCACTTCAATAAAAGTTTACAGGTACATTGGTGTCAGAAATGGTGAACTAGAGTTGATAAATGGGAACCAGAACCACGATCGTTTCACTAACATTCTACACCATTACCGGTTGAAAACACCTTTGGGGACAGGAACCATCCGTTCATTTTCCAAGATAATAACGCTACACCCCAAAGGGTCAGGGCTCTAACAGAGTGGCTCTACCAGCAAGGCATCAAGAGTGGATTGGCCTGTCCAATCACCGCATGGAAACCCCATTGAAAGCCCGTGGAATGAGATTGGAAAACAAGTGACAAAGGATTGCCTCTTTACCAGAAATGATCTAATTCAAAATATCGTTAGATTCTGGGTGATTACTGAACTTATTAGTCTATGCCCAGAAAGATTGTGGCCATGCTGAGATCACGTGGCTATCCTACAAAATGCTGGTCTGTAAACCTGTAGTAAAGATACTAACTTGGCGTAACATGATTTCAATAAAACATTAATTGAAAACCTGACAAATCCAACTATTGTTCATTCAAAAGCACAATGGTGCAATGCTTTTGTCACCCCCTGTAGGCCTACGTTGTTCTATCCAGAATTCTATAAACCTTTTGCATCAGCATTACTATTCGCAGCAGTACAGTAAAATACTAGTAGCTGTCCATAAATTTATGTAAAATTCAGCGTAAAATCTTATTTTATGACACCAAGGAAATGTGTTCACGGACAGCCAGTTTACACATTGGGTAAGGGTCATTCCACAAAAAAGCGAACATTTTAGCGTCGTTAGTACCTCACACATTTCGTGTACTATTTGTATCACTGTTTCATATCACCTTTTAATTATATTTGAACGGTACTATAGTACCAGTAAAAGATAGCAAAAATAATGGATCAAATAAAATTATGCAGGTATTTCGCAAAATGTGTGTCTGACGTGACTCAGTAGTCACTTTTTGGTGGAATGTCCCTCGAAGTGACTTTTGTTCACTGCATAGTTCATTTTTAAAATCTGAAAATCACATTTTAATTATTAATATATCATTGTTTTCAATAATCCGTAGATGCCCTTGAAGTCGGCCTCCGCTCCTTATCCAGAATTTTGGCTTCGCAAAATTCGCTCTATGTTTGCCATGTTTGACCATGACCAAGATGGCGTCATCCACAGAGAGGACATTGTCGACTGGTGTGTAAAGAACGCTAAAGGTCGCCTTAATCAAGTTCAGATGGAAGTTTTCCAGGAACTGATGGACGAAGCTTGGGAATACTACTGGGCTGGAGAAGAAAAGAGAACCGAAGTCACACTTTACGACATTGCAGACAGCGTGAACCGCACTTACCAGGCTCCGGGCTTCAAGGCTTTGCAAGACAAGTGGTTAGGTACCTGTTTTGATAAAGTGGCAGATATCGACGGTGACGGCTATTTGACTTTAGAAGAATTTACGTCTTTTCTTGGGTTGTTTGGCGTACACCCATTGAGCGTCCCTGCGTGTTTCGAAGCTCTGAAGACCAACAAAGATGACCTCATCAGCAGAGAACAGTTCGTGCAAAAGGGGAAAGAATTTGCTTATATTACAGTAAATTCTCCAGCAAAAATGTTCTGGGGACCCTTTATTGCTTAGAAACTCGAGTCACAATTTAAACCTTTTCAATCTGAACTGTAATATTTTATATTATTGAGACGGTTAGGGGTTTGGTATTAAGCAGTCATACAGGCAGATTGCTTCTGGGTTTTCATAGCCCTTGTTCAAAATGAATCATTTGAAAACTACAGTTTACCGATGTGAACAATCTCAATCCTACCACAAGAATGTGGCATGTTTTGCGTTGTTAAAAAAGGTAATTCTTATAACATGAAAAGCAGTGTTACCAATATGGTTTATTGTATAACGAATATTACAAAAACGGATGTCCTTTATATGATATGCACAGTGTCTGTACGCATTCTGATCTTAACTATACTGATAACTATATAGTTTATATGAATGAATGTATAATGAATAATGGGGAGATCTAGGATTTTGAGAAAATTGCACATGATAAACAGATTGCCATTCTCAATTTAAATAGTTTTAATACAAGCCTTCCCACGGCTAAAATGAACCACAAATATAATTAAATACGGTGGGAGGAATACTCATGCCTTCTTTCACACCTCTTTACCAACTTAACTTCCATCTGGCCAATTATTGTGAAATAATTAATAATGGATAATCTGTTTAAATAATAATTATACCAAAATATTGAAACAAACAAAATGACTGCAACTCACAAGCATACTCATCTTACTTACTATTACTCATTCAAGCAATATATATATATATATATATATATATATTCTTTTTTTTTTTGCAAATTAGCGATATTGTCACAAAAACATATCATTTGGCACCAAACACAAAACACAGTTGATATATATACATATTTAACTTACTAAAATGAAGATTTCATTAACAGGTATACAACATGACTGCACAATGGAATATGAATCATTTGAAATACTTTTTTAACTTTCTCCATTCTGTTGCACAGATATGTATACATACCTCATCTTTCAAATTAAGTTACAGTTACTATCACATTGATATGGACTGTCCTATAATCTCAGGATATATTGTAGAGTACTGGTATCATTGTGTACTCACTACATTAAATATCATATTTCCTTTGTCTGTGTACCATACAGTAATGACACCAGATTCAGACTTTTTTTACATATAATCTCACCATAATATGTTTATCTAAAATAACTTCAATTTTAATTATTACATATTATCACAATATTGAAAGACAGCTAAAAGGGTAACAATATGGACAATAAATATCAATACATGACAGTGAAACGCATGTAAATATGTGATATCTCACGCTTACAGATATGTATATAATGTAAAAACAATGCTGCCGGTACAGAGTCTCATTGTCATTCCGTTGAGTAAACATGTCCTTTTCAAGGCCGATTTTATATACTATGCTGTAGTATACTTAATCAAATGAATAAACAGTAAACTTAACCACATATTAGAAACATAAAGTACACACCTTACCTTTGCATGGTGTTTTGATTGACAATTACAAAATAAATGGCGTCTGTCACTAGACTGAGGTGAAATCTCTGTGGTAATATTACTGACTGCATTTTTTTCTTATAATAAGTGAAGTAAAAATATAAAAAATAACCATATCTTCTGAAGCATCTAATCAGATAAAACCCTGTTAACCTGAACTTTCTTGTAACATTTTAACATAACAGCAGTTCAGAAAGTAGGAAAGAAATGTAAAATGGCCCACTAGTCATGCATATAAAACTGTCATTGTTGGTCCCGCTGTAAACAGTAAATAATGTACATTCTTATTTACTGACTGGATAAACAATTAGTCTAAGATTTGAATCCAACTTAAGAGACTAGAATTTCAACATAAGTACAATAAAAATTTTTGACAGTGGGCACTCTTTCCCCCATCAATTAGAATAGTATATAACTTGAAACTGGTATTAAAAATACAACTGCATAACATAACAATATCTTACTAAAATTACAACTTTCCCTTTTTTTCTTTTTACACAGAAGTTTCAAATACATACGACTCTCCAACTTTAATGGCACTATATGAAACATTGGAGGAGGGATAGGACAAAGAACTTTCTTTTCCATAACCCTGGTCAATAGCGTCATGTCCATTTTGTGAGTGGTAAGTTCTTGAGGCCATGTGGTTTGTCTTTGTGTAGGTGTTTAATAGCATATCCCCAGCACTGCTAAGGTACCTTGCATTCTTCCATTTATTGCTAGCCGCTGCGTCCAAACTTTCATCATCATTTTCCGCCGTAAGTATTCTATCATCACTGACCAGTGAGATGAGACTGTCTATTTCATCATCTCTGATATTATCATTTGGCACTTGATGGCGCTCCCTCTCACTGACAGTTTTCATCCACTCCATAATCACATGTAATCCATGATCAGATCCGCCAGTATGTGTTGCCGAGGGGTGTGTATGCTTAAGAGCATCCAGTCCATTTGTCTGCACAATAGATGGCACCACCGACTGACCTGATACATAAGTCTGGCCAGGGTGTTCAAAACCATTTCTACCAATATTGGTGTCTGGTGTAGAGCTCCTAAGTGGCATATTTATTTTATTTGAGACGTTCAAAGTAGGGCTTATCTCTCCTTTCACAGAATTATTAGTTTTTTCTCTTGATAATTCAACAAAGTTTCTAGCATTACTTGTATCACTCCATCTTGAATTTTCCCTGAATTCAACTTCCCTATCCAGTGACTTAGCTCTAATAGTGCTGGCATCTACAGGTTCTCTTCTGCCCTCTCCAATACCATTCCCAAGATTCACTGTAGATAAAACATCTTCAGTATCATCTTTTTGATTATAGTTTCTAAGTATATCACCTAATACTTCATCACATCTTTGTATTCTTAAAACGTCTGCTGCTGTTCCTGCTAAATCTAGCAAGCTATCACTATGGATACACTGGGAGTTCAGCCAATCCAAGGCCTTCTTCTTAATAAAAGTCCACTCTGAATGTTGTCCTGCATTCCTTTGCAGCCAAACCACAGCCAGGACTGTAGCCCATACACTCTGACTCTGAAATACCATAAAACATAGCTAATTGTGAATTACTGCTATTTCTTTATTATATCATTTTTCTGAAAATAATAAACTCGATTAAGCTTAAAATGGAATACACCTTGTAAATTGTTGAAACACTTATGGGATTCTGATTTCAAATGAAGGAGTATAATTCAGAGATAGAAACTATTAACAGGATGTCAAATCAACAGTTTCAAGTCTTTTGTGAAATGCGACCATACACAGAACTGGCCTCTCAAATAACCATTTTACTTGGCAGTATCACACCTACCACAAAGCACTACCCTTAGATACAATAAAGTTAGCATTTTTCTACAAATAACTATTAATTTCATCAGAGTTAAGAAACTGTGAAAATCAAACTTTGCCAATGTTAATTACACTCTGCCAAAATGACAATCGCTGATGTGAATTCTACTACTAATGACAAAAGACACTTTGCAAGAAAATGCATTTGCTCCACCTCACCCTGCATCACCTCGCTAAAACACAATACAGTTGATACCTCACCCAAAACAACGCAATCTACATCTCACCTGATGCAATACAAACTCCTATACATATTAACCATTCAAACCCATACTTACAGGACAGGGGCACCTGGCAATCATCCTCTCCACTGATGTATCCAGGATTTCTGCCAGGGCAGCATCTAGGCACCATGAGCCATCAAATCCCTGGCACTCTGCCAGAAGATATTCTTTCTTCAGGACAGGGGTGGTGGGGGACTCTGGAATACCCTCCAGTAGGAACTCTTTGCTGGCAAATGGGGACTGGGGGCTTCCTAAGAGATGCAGGAATGGGTGCGCTTTATAGATTTAAGATAATCTTTTCAATCATTTCAAAATAATTTAATTCATTTTTATTTACTGTCATTCATAATTTTGTTTTGATTGTTTCATGCATGATCAACAAAATGTTCTTTAAAATATCATTTTGAATATATATTATTCATAAGATTTCATAGGATTTAATATCAAAACCATCCCAAAATTCTACCATACAAAAAGTGAGTAATCCTGAGGCAATCCTTACCCTGGGTGTCATTAGACATGAAGGAGTCGTCCAGAGTGCCACTGGTATTGATCAAATTTACAGATGCTAAAGACACTCTCATCTCATCTCCAAACTCTGCCAAGGGTGCAGATTTGGGCCGCTTTGGTCGATAGCGGACATGTCGACTGGGGGCTTCTCCTGGACTCCTCCAAAAGTCATCACTCATTGATGGAGACTTGTTTAAACCTGAAGTAAATAGGGAATGTGAGCATAAACCAACAGAGGAACTGTGTTAAATAAATAAATGTATTTATTAATAGAAGTATTCATTACTGTTTACAAAAATCATTCAATCACAAAGCCATGATATTTAGAAGAGAGAGAGAGAGAGACAGAGAGAGAGAGAAAGAATATGACCCTGCCATCCACAAAAACCAATAATTACAGTTGAAAGACACCTATCACAACAGGTTCTGTACAATTTGCATTTAACAGTATCATTTTATATTTTAAGTGATCTTACAGTAAATTTACATTATTTTAGTCTTGCGGCAATACATTAGACTGGGCTACAACACTTTGTGTGTACTGCTCAGTTTAAGAGAAGCATTAATCACACAAGCACTCATGCTATTATGTCTGAAGATTTACATCATGCATATTTTTGCATATGCACCTTCGATTTCAATACACTTAAGTCAACTGGCAGCAGTTTATGTTAATTTCGCACAAACAGCTACACGAAAATATCTTTTTCCAATCACACAAACTAGGAAAAACCTCAATTCTGATCAAATAAAAAATAAATACAATATTTTACTCAAAATAACCAGTAAACAACCTTAAAAACCTCTGATAATATTATGTTTCACAACAACAACAACAACAAAAACAACAACAACAACAACAACAAAAAAAAACATTAAGTACAACCATGAATCAAGAATCAAGACAAGCATTCTGAAATGGAATCACACAAAATGATATTTCACAAACATTTCACTGCATCAAAAGCATGGCATAATTTTCTTCTAAGCCACAAGTACTCACGTATTTTGACTATATGGGGCACTGCTGCATTAGAGAAACAAAAGAGAAATATTTTAAATTACTGTAAAATGTACAGTTTTAACTCATTGCTTATGAAGCATGACTGCCAAACTCTGATGCATTTTTCCACCCACTCACCAAATTTTATGTGACAACTAATAATTTTGGTTTTGACTGCATTTGTTTTTCCATTTACCTTAAAACAGCAGCTTCTTCTACATAATAGACCGAGAGTAATGGGACCCACAGGCTAAACAGCATACATACATTACTACACATAATTTAAGTGAGCTGCAAGCATACATTTACACACATGCAAACACGTGGATATGCACACATCATATTGATCTTATTAAGATGAAATATCTGTACACTTAGAAAGCAGGTTCAAACAATGCTTAAAACAAGGGTGGCACTGGACTTACACATCAATGCTTTCATTTTTAAGAAAAATCAAAACATAAATCATTCAGATAAAAACAAATGATAGAACACAAAATCAACATTTTTGCTCTTCCTGAAAAAATTTCATTTTAAACTACTAACTTACACCTGATAGAGTTCACAAGCTTCCTGAATTTGACTCTAAACCAAGAAAAACAACCACAGTTTGATGTATCTTCCTCTTTTTCTACTTCAACAGTCTCTATGCAATTTTCCTCTGCCTCCACTTCTGCCTCCACCTCCTCCTCCTCTCCCCTCTCTGGTGTTAGTAGAGCACGGGTCTGAGCACTATGCACCATGCGTCTTTTATAAGTTAGTTTGTTAGTCAAAGCTGAATATGAATATCAAGGAGAAATTATACATAAAAGCAAAGCAAAGAAAAGTTATACCTAGACATACAGACAGAATATGAATGTAAGAAATTAAACTTGAATATGTGCGAGCAAAAAAAACTGTTTCAAAGATATATTGTAAGTTTTACAGTAAAGAAAAAGGCAAACTATTGACTATAATAGAATACTATAGGAGAAAAATACTGAAACATGCAAACATCTAATAGTATTTTGATAAAAGCCAAGAAGGATTACACTAACTGGTAATATCAATTGACATGCTATCTACACAATGAACCATGAAACTATGCAAAAAAAAAAGGAGAAAAAAGAAAGCAGGAGAAAAAATCCACAACTAAAATGCAGCATGATGACTACTGAGACAGCTGCCCAATTTTTGTAAACCTTTTTCAGAGGCAACAAGTTGTTAACATGTGCTCATTCGAGATTAAATGACACAATTGGAAGTGAAGAGTACCACTTACTTCTCCGTGAGAAAGACATTGACCGGAACTTTCTGGCCACTAATGACCCAAGCCCACAGTTCCACAGTGAGCTGACCCTCTTAAAGTGTGGTTTGTATTCTCTAATGGCAACTTCATAGGAGTCCCCTGAACCAATGGAAGTTGTGTCATCTGCTTCCTGAAAACAAAAACCAGGAGAGATAAGGAATTAACTCAATTCTTCTAAACTCTTGTTACAGACTCTCAGAGAAAGTTATTATAAATGCAGAGATTTAAATAACCTTTTAATAATTATCTACTTTAGCTTAGTTCATGTAACTATTGCCACAAAAAATTCTTACCAGTTTTGCAAAATAGTTATCATAAGCAATTACAAATTACAAATAAATGATATGTTTGACATTAATATGTACACTGTCAATTCATTAACTGACCCAACTGGAATGTTCTACATCATTGGAAAACCTATATAATTACTTCTTCAGAAAAATATCAGCACCAAGTGATTTAAATTGCCTACTGCTAAACTAAACTGCTTGATCTGACATTACTGATCTGTTATATGTATAATATTATCTACATTTATCTATATCAATTCTCACCTGTGTCTTGTCCCAGTCACTGTACAGCAGCTGTACATGGTCCTCACTACCCACCATCTTACCCAAAATGGCAGTACACCTAGAGACAATATTGGAGGCTTTGCTCAGGCGAATGATGTAGTATGGAGTATTTCCTTGCAGAATGTTTGCTGGAAAGAAAGAGAGCATAAATGATTTGTGAAAAAAATTTGAAAATGATCTTCACAAAACCAAATTTCTCAAGTGCAGCTGAACCACAGGAGCTAAGGGCAAGATACAGCTACTTGGAATTATGGTCAGGATCAAGATTCATCACACAAACAACAAAAAATACATATCACATCACACCATGTTAACAAAAGAGGTTTAAAAATGGTGTTCAAAGTGAGAGATCAAAGAAAGAATATATTTCAATCAATCAATCAGTACCTCCTCCATCTAACTGCTGCTCCAGATCACATATCAATGACTTGGCTGCTAGTCTGTGTATGGTGGCTTCCTGTACACTGGTGGCAGCGGTGGGATCAGTATGCTGGGGGATCTCAAACTTCAAGCTATGATAGAAAGGGTCGTCATCTAACTCTCCCTGGAGATAAACTATACCATATGCTGAGCTCTCCAGCTGTAAGTAAAGATATATAGGTGATCAATTACATTAACCCATGACCTGTATCAAAGTGATATTAAATTACCCTATATTCAAATTGTATTTTCAAATGGTAATGCATGATTCCTTGTGCACACAAATAACCTTTAATCACTATGGGTTTGGTAAGCTTCTGTCTAACAGTGGCTATCAGGGTTTGATTATGTATATAACCACAGTACTTATATTTAGAAAATGAAAGTAATTTGATCTGCTGAGGGCATGGGCGCAACCATTACATATTTAAAGTAGCTTTTCTTAGTGATAACAAATTCTACACATAATCATTACACAACCGGAGTAACATGTTTCACAAAGATCCCAATTACCTTAGTTTTGATGAGTGTATGAACCACCAGAGTGTCCCCTGCCATGAGACTGAGGGGCAGCCTGTGTGGAGTAGTGTGGATCACAGTGCCCTCTGGGAGCTCCCAGTGTAAGCTTAGGTCACGGACTTCTGGGAGGAGAGCTTTCTTGAAAACTGACATCACCTGGAATAATAATAATAATAATAATAATAATATACAACATATCTTTAAACCCATTAGGTGATGACTGAACATGAAAATTACACTCACTCTATCAACATAGCGTACATTGAAATTCAAAGTACTGATACCACATTTTATTCCAAGTCAATCATTTTATCTACATATTCTAATCATTTAAAACCTTCCACAATTGTTATTTAAATAATGTCCACTAAAATATAAAGATGGATTTTCACTAAAATAATATTTACTTTTTTCTTTTTACTTTCAACCTGTAGGCATGAATAGTGATTTTTTTAACCATTAGCAAAGTGCTTACCTTTTCTTCCAGATTTCTAGTGTCTCTGATCATGTTACAGGTGCCTCCGGTCCCAATGGCTATCTCCTTCAGCAATGACTGGTCACCAACATCACCAAGACCAAATACAAAGGTTCTGGCAGATGAAACAAATGTATGTTTAACAAGTGAAATGTAATTCAGCTGAATACAAGCCACAAGAAAAAATCCGTAATTTTGTTTCAATTTATGTTTATTTCCACTATACAGCTTGAATGCTGGAAAATCCTCTCATAATTTGTTTTTTATCCTAAATGTGAATAATTTTGAAGAATATAGCAATATACCTTCCTCCTAGTGCATGTCTTTGAACCATCTCTTTGACATCCCTCATGATGGTGGCTCCTGCTCCACTGGTAAGGAGAAACAGCTGGAACAATAATTAATATGTCAGCAATGACAGAAGACTGATACAATATTGAGGCAGCCAAGTAGCGAAAAAAGCAAAAATCTTTATATATAAACAGTTCAAAAATGCACTAAAGTCAGAAGTATCTATCATGATAGTAACAAGTCTTTCTCTGACTGTAGACTTAGCTAGTGTAAAATAGGCAATTGCAAACATGGCAAAGTTGATCATGATATTATTCTTCAGCAGTGCACATGCTATAAAAGAGTTGCACTTAAATGCAAGCACCTGTCTTGACTTGCCCATCTTGTCCTGCCTATAGATGTGTTTAAGTGTCCTTAGCAAGGAAGTATTGTCACCCATGTCTGGCTCCACGTCCTCTAAAAATGCCACAGCTTTCTCTAGGGTAGCTCTGTTGTAGGGTCGACTGCCACTGCAGTGAATAACAACAGAGATACAATATTTCCATAGTAACAACATAAAATTAGAAATCGTGGCAAGAGTTATCATATATAACATAATTAATATACCAGAAATAAATACTTGTTCTTAAAGATCAATTATTATAAATGGACATCATCAACTTTATACTTGACAGATGCATATTCTAATAAATCACTATCAACACAATATTGTCTTATGACATGAAATACCAAAATTCAATAAAAAATTTTAACTTGTTATTCAAAGTTATACAAGGTCAATGATCATACCAAATGACAATAAATTATAAACAGTAAAAGGCGTGCAACTTTAAATAGGCCTTACTCAAATCACTAGATAATCCATTTGTCCCTGATTGGGTTAAAAACCCTAAGGTGTCAGAGGGTCCCTGTACAGGCTCCCCTGTGTAAATGTGTGTGTTAGTGAGTGTGGCCCAGGAGGGGGCAGGGGCTCTATTTGCTCATCTGGTGGCATCAGTAAGACAATTCTTTGTTTTATAAAGTATAACCTGTTCAGATTGCATGTTATAACTTTACTTGAATGAGAAAACTGCAATTAAAAATCCTCCCTTACCCATCAAACAGTGAGTAATAATGGTCACCAAACACCACAACGTTGAAGGTACTGTCCAGAGGCAAACTCTTCAGAAGCAACAGTAAAGATCTGCGTGCACTAAGGATCTTGTCCCCTGCCATAAAGTCTGAAAATACAAAAAAAAAAAAAAAAAATTCTTTCAACTTACTATACCAGAAACTATTCATTTTCTAAACATTCATGAATGGGGGAAGGAAGGAAGGTAAAAAAGGAACCTTCCTCACTGTCTGCATTCCCCCGTCTTTCAACCTTCTATACAAAGTTCCACATCTTTCTTGCCACACTTTTACTCATAAAAAGGGGAAAATCCTTTAAAAGGATCCAAGTTCATTATAAACATTAATATGTATAAATTACTTCTAGTGCACAAATTAAAGTAAGTCACATCTTAGCAAAAGAATTAAATAATAAAGCAACAACTGCAGATTGCCCTATTAATCTGACATTCTCATTCTTTGAATATAAAACTGTTACAGTACCATCCGTGATACAAAATATTCCACAAAAAACAATTCTTACAGCATCAAATATTGAGCCATACCATGAAATCATGTACAAAAAAACATAACATTTTTACTTGAAATAATCTCTTCTGCTAAATTAGAGTGCAGGCAGCTACATTTCATATGAATGTCTGATAAATGCCATTACGCACCATTACAGTGAAGCAGCTGGCATTCATACAATAATGTACCATGATTTTATTGATCCTTGAAACACTCAGGGAAATTAATATCTCAGGTACCTGAACAATCCACCACAAAGATGAACTCAGTGTCTCGTCTTATCTCACTGGTGGGAATCTGTGGACAGAAAGTCAGCATCAGGACATCATGGTACATCACTCCCCCTGAAATTTGTCAGAATTGTATGTATAATGCAATTCCTTGGATTGACATGATCAAGACACAACAGAGAAGCTTGCTGGTCTTGCTCTGTTTCTTTTACACATGTACACAATATGTACCATGTGTTTCTAAGATCTCTGGAAATACATGACTGTGTAATAATTGTATGTACTCAGCTAAGCATCTGTGAGATCTAAGATCTGTGGCATTATGTAGTACTACTGGCTATGAATATGGCAGCTGTGCCAGAATATGAAACTCAGGTCGGCACAAAGTTATTGAATGTAGTAAACTACGTACTTCATGTTAATGGTCCAGAAATTTTCATTTTAATTAAAATGCATGTGTTCCCCCCTCTCTCTCTCTCTCTCTCTCACACACACACACACACACACAAACACACACACACACACACACACACACACACACACACACACACACTTTTACACACACATAAACACACATGTACAGTATCCTGCTCGCAAGCCCTGACCAGAGCTGTGAAACTGATCTGTTTGCTTTCAGTGACATTCATTTCTGATGATTTCGTATTCGTCACTGCACCTGTGCTGGTAATTTAGTCAATTTACTCAATGAAAAGCTCTAAGCTCATTACAAATTGGAAATGGCACATCATAGGCAAACCATTGTGCTGTTCCATTTTGAGCCAGAGGCACTGCTTTGTTTGGCAGGAACCCATCTTTCAGATCTCAAAACAGCTACAATGTAATTTTATATTATATACAGACAATTGAACAAATTGAATATATTTGCAGTGTTCTATAGTCAAAGCAACAGGGATATGAGAATTGAAGAACATGACACAGCAGGAATTTTAAAAGTAAAATGCTACACACTATACTGCAGGAGGCTGTTGCTTTAAGTCAGTACCAAGGAGTTTACACAACTGCAACAAATCGCCCTTCACAATACAATCCAGCTAAAAAGGTTAATATGTTCACCTTGGTTCTACTACTCCAAGCTACCAAACATTTCAAATTGTTTCCTTTTATTAGTGTTACAGGACTAAGTAACAAATTAATAATATCTAAATCAACAGTTGAAAAAATATGTCAAAACAAGTGTAAATGGAACCATACGAAATCTGCAGATGAAAACCTTACATTTCGCAGGGTGACCTTTCTCGATGATGATCTTTGGCTGGTGGAGGTTGTAATAGAAGATGAAGATAGACAGCCGTGCAGTCAAAATATTGGTTTTTAAGAAAGATACCTGAATCAGAAAAACAATATTTCAATATAACCTTTTTTCATATTTGTAAGGAACAGCATAAGTAAAATAGCAAAAGATGTTGGAAAGAAAATAATAATCTTATGGCGCATTTCTTTCATTTGTGAGATTTTGATTTTCATTCAAACAGTGTGATACTAAATGAAAGTCACTCATGACTAACTTAAAACTACACCTTCAGTATTCTGTGCATTGCTCTTCTATACTTCTAGTGTACATTTATAATAGGAAATTTCCAAGGGTGTGGCATTTCTACCTTTGCCTGTGTGAGGCTACTGTTTAGATATTCTGAAACAATTTCAATTTCTTCTGATCTGACGTCATGAATCTGGTAGGGCCCATCAATGTGGATGGTCAAATCAAAATGTGCCATACCTAAAATTTTACAAAATAAACACAATATGGCTTTACATTTATCTCTCAAAATCCATGCATTGCTTAGAAACATTTGCTACATACTTTTTTCGTCATTGATTTACACAGACTTCTAGTATGAATCCATATTAAAATGTTAAAATATTGCTATACATTCAAATTGATGAAGATATGGTTGTTCTTTACTCAAGAAAAGCATTTTTCAAACAACAAAGAACCCCCCTTAAAAAAAAATTATGACTCCCTTTCTTGGCATAATATTCAACTGTTTGCATTAGCATTTTTAACATCTGCCATGACTAGGATGATGTTTCATGCTAGCTAACATTTATCAATACTACTTTTTAAACAAATTGGTCTTGGTAAAATGTCATGCCATTTATATAAACCTTTTATAAAATATTCCCATTCAAGTCACAGATTTTATCACTTCTTGCAAAATCAAAGAACAATATTTTTCATTTCATCTTTTTTTTTAAATTAAGTAAGGCCAACTTCTATTTATCATGCCTAGGAAGAAAAAAATAATTAGTGCCATCAAGGCAAAATCATACTGGCAGATAGAAAGATTTAGAAAACTTCAGTGAAATAGCAAATTAAAGTGGCCTGAGACTGCTTCTGCCATATTATTCTTGAAGTACGCTTTTTTTAAAATAAAATCAAAAGCTACAGCTGCAATAGTACAACACAAATTTGTTGAATACATGTGTATGCATGTGCCCTGTATATGTGCATACCAACTCACCCTGTTTAGACAAAGCAGTGTAGCTATTTGGGAGAAGGAAAGATGGTAGAAGAAACTCAACAGCACCACCATTGCCAGACACGGCCAGAGTCTGGACAGTGGACACTGAGATGACCACCTGCTGTCCACTGGTCACTGATCCAATATGACAAACAAAACTACCTTTGTACTTCTTCATCTCCAGGATCAGACAGTCCTGTCCAGACTTGGTCAGTCCCTCGCTGCACTGGCCAAGGGCCTGGAATATCAAATAATTTTACCTAAATCATATCCTTCTTCCCAATTGACAATAGAATAAATAGCTATTTACTTTAATAAACAAATGATATTTTTGTATTTTATTTATTTTATTTTATTTCTTTATTATTTTTTTTTTTTTGAGAGGGGTAGAATGGGCAAGGAAGGAACACTCAAAGAATGAGTCAGTTTTTCAAATCATCATATATAATTCAACCCAACTATGAGGCAGGTGACTTCTATTCTTCACTCCCTATGCACCCAATTGCTCCTTCTTAAGGTTTCAATCAACATCAGTTCTATAAACAACCACACATGGCATCACAGCAGAGAATCAGGCAGACAGCAGTATTGTTCTTACAAAAACCATAGAAAAATGTGCGCAGTGCAATTCAAGCCATGTTATCATTGTGGTAGACTTGGATTGCTCCCAGTGAACACATTTGTGAAGATCATGATTAGCGCAAATAAAAGCAGTTGCCATGATGCTGCTTTTTTTTTTAAGGGAGGCCACTGCACCAACCACATTTAGTAAAGAAACCCAACTTCTACAGGTCTCGCTAAGATATTTCATCTCTGCAGTCCCAGTAACTTAGTAAAAAAGAACATCACTAAATATTGTAGACTACTCCAATCTGTACATATATATCCAAACTTCTGAGATTTGAAATAATGGAAAAAGGGATAGCACTATTAAAATCTTCCAGTATTACACTTTTTTCCTTGTGAGTATCAACCAAATGCAATGTCCCAATTCTAAACTAAAGCAAAAATTGCAGAATATACCAAATTGAATCACATAATTGGTAAAAAGGTCATTCTTCATCTTAAACAACAAATTATTTAACACTAACATTTTTCCACGTATTCTTACATCAATTGCAATCAAACAAATTAAATTGCGCCATCTTTTTAACTGGACTAAAACAGTAATACTTCAATTAACCAGATAAATAAATTTTGAGCATCATGAAAGAAATTCAGCAGTATTGGTAGTTATTAGAAAATTATCAGCACTTTTCAACAGCCATTAATCTTATAAACACTAATAACAAAATGGGGCTAGACGGTAACCAATAGTTGGAATGATATACAGTATTGATTTTATTTTAAATGTCAACAATCTGCTTTCAAAGAGCATAATGTCATGTACTGTTAAGAGCAGAAAACATGTATACCTTAGAGCATCAGATATAAAATATGATGGATTCCTGATACATCTGTCTGTGAATAAATCTAAATAAATGTGCCTACGGTAATCATTTTGTTTCCCAGGTACCATGTCCTGTCAACTGAGATGTGCTTGCATGTCTCATATGATATATCTGATGACAAATTACACCACTCAGGTGCAAATTAGGTGACATGATATATAAGAGCTGTCATTCTGTGAAGATGACTTCCTCACAGCATGGGAGTTGAGGTATCATAAAGACGTCACTGTCTCTGCAGTATAGATATATGGTGCAACATATTTGCTAAGAATGCATCTGCTTAAATGAGGATGGAAAATTATTTTCACACTGGCTACGAAACTACTATTATACATGAAACCTGACTGTGAAATGTGAGAAATAATCCACATATCAGTACACAGATAAATATCACATTAAAGACTGACATGAATATATGTTGTCTTGGGGAAGATATCTGAATTATGAACATGATTTTACAAAGGCCACTCTCAATGAATTGTTCATTGGAAAATTTATGGTTAAACTACCCAGTCTGAAGGCTTTTTACAAGATATTTACATGACAACCTTCAGAGAGTATGTCTATAGTGTGACTTGCAGCAAATTTAGAGGGTATTCAAGAAAAGAAGCCCTTCCTGATAGTGTACACAATTTATACTGATTCTTTTTTTAATCTCTGTTTAGAGGAAGTGTCCATCCAAATATCTGCAAAGTCCTGGCAAATGTCCTTTTGCCTTTATATGTCCCTGCATACTGATAACCTTAGGAACAGCCATATAAAATGGGTGGCCAGTCACCAAGACCTCATGAATATATTACTGATCACAACAACGATAACATGGACCTTCTGAAAGTCAGGCAAATCTCAACCCACTGTTACTTTTCAAAGACACTGTGTATGGGAACTAGGATAAACAGCTTCTTTTTACCCTAATATAATATATTCCGAATTGTGATTAAACCCTCATTCTGTCACATACATAGAGGCACTAAATAAATATGACCGAACCTAATTACACATAGAAAATATACATATCACAATTAAAACATATCTGTGTAGTTCGCATCAATAAAATATTAATATTGAGGCGTGCCATGTGGACTATTAGGAATTAATTCTGTATCTGTTTCAATCAATATCAAGAAGATCAAACCTACACAACTGCTACACATTTATTAACGCTACATGTGGGCACACCCTGTTTTATTTTGCAGCAAAATATACATTTTATAAACAGATAGCCTGACAAGACTTATTAGGAGCAAGACAATTAGGGAGTGACCATTTCCTCTGTATACAGCTTGGGGGCAGCATATAGAGCTATGTGTTGTGTGGCTGAGTAAAAGATTACGGTCACCACTCATTGTTGTATATCCAACAATAATGAGGCACCTTTGGCTCCATCATCATTACCTTTCTATAGAGCATATTTGTAGTAGTCTAAATGATGTAAACAGTCTGTTATCAGGTTTTTTTCTTTTTTTATGCAGGAAAATGAAAAAAACATAAAAACAACCAACTTTAAAAAATTCTTCATTGAATGAGCATGTGCATGTATGACAAAAACCTACCAGTATTCTTTCCTCTACATGTCCCTGGAGGACTTTCCCGTCCCATATCGCCTTGAAGTCATACAGACTCCCCGCTGTGCTGTCATCTATGGGAAATGTCACCACTACATTGTCCAGGTTGTCATCTGATGTGTTGACGAAGGTGAGAGTGCTGTGGATGTCAGCAGCAAAACCCTGCACCTTGGCCTCAACGATGATACTTTCAAGAGTGACTGAAATTTCAAGAACATAAAATAAGTGCCTTGATCTTAATACCACTGTGACATGAAAATGAATAAATACTAAAAATTTTTATAAAACACACACACACACACAAAAACACCCTTCAAGACAAAATAGCATCTTCAATTTATTTTACAGAGGAAGCATACCTTAGTATGATAAACAAAAAAATGATATTTCTGCCATTTTTTAATGTCTAGCGTTTTCATCCAGAAACAATGTTATTGTATGGTCTGTATAGTGATGTGACATTTTTCTCCAGGCCTTCTTAATATAATGAAAGATATGATGGCCTTATGATCCTTTCAGAAGAGGTGGACATCTGGTTAACAAAATTATTTTTGTGCCAGTTTAAAGCAGTTTAATGCTCTTGATTTTAACAAAGTCTGTACATCAAAACATAGATATCTTTAAGAATACAATGCCTTCATCTAAAACCAAAATAGTTTTTTACATTCTTCATAAATGAAAAATTAGATAAAGAAAGGATACAAAATGAACTGATTTCATAAATTTCAGTTAACATGAAGGAGTCTTTGCTGTCACAAATTTTTTTCAATCATAGCTATTATGAAATGTATTTTGTACCACACTAAAAGAAATTTTATGTTAAATCATGAACGTCATTCCTTTTTTTAAAAGGACATGTAAATTTACCCAAGTGGACAAGATATGTTTTTCACAAAAACACAATATAATATAGCACTAAATCACTTCACAATAAATACAAATATATTAGCCTCTTACAAAAAGAACTCACTAAATGAAACAGTACAGGTACAACTAAGGTGGTTAGAATAGTAGCCTACCTTGGCCTCCTTTACCTGTGCTACTACCATTAACTTCAAAACAATCTTTTTGTACCATTATTACATCCTAACATGAACACACAATGTCTTTCACACTTTAACTACTCCAACAGCTCACACAAAATAGAAGCCAAGCAGTTCTAATCCACCGACAAATATTGTACAAACATTGTACAAAGCAAATGTTCCCCTTGACTGTGCACAGTTCCGTCAACAATCTCAAGATAACGTTGCACACCGTCCTCCCAACATTCTTTTATGCTGACTTATGTTCATAAAAATAGCCAATAAAGGATTGTTGTACGTAAACAGTCATCAGGGATGAGTTGTGAAATGAATGAATGAATGAAAGTGGCACGTGCCTGTCCTGGATCACCAAGTTGACAAAGGGCTCTGTTACATGACACCAGTGGCCTGTCACACGTGGTTAAGTATTTAACAAGTTTGGTGTTGTCACATTAACTTCAAAGTGTGCATTTATTTAGAGTCTGTCAGGGTACTGCAGTATTATGGTGCTACCTGGTTTATTGTTACTCATCCGTGTCACTGCTGAAATACATCTCTGTCACTTGATCTCACATTAGAACCAAGAAACTTGCTGTTCAAATGCCTACGGATAAAATCAATTATGAATCCTGCCTATTTCTGGAGTGTCTCATATTTTGCTGATATATAATATGATAAATTTAAAGTGATTACACACAGAAGTTCTTCTTTCAAACATTAGTCTGGGGGGGGGGGGACCAACCCGAAGAAACCATCACAGCCCTGACAGTCTAAATATCTCTGCTTTAAAACTATCCAATATATGTTACATACAAAAAATGCAATTTACACTAAAATTACACCTTAAAACATAAAGAAATTAATTCAAAAAGGTAAAATGCAATATCATAATACACCATACTGTGTCTCCCTTGTTATGATCTCCCACAGATATATTTCAAAGCTCTGTTTCAATCAATAAAGTTCTGGGGATCAAGGCTGTCACATGTGTTTTCAGCTTCTTTGGTTATACACAGAGCACTTTCATAAACCACACAGCTACAACCCACATAAATCATGTATAAGCACCAGAATGCTTCTAATTATGTCTGTTGATATCAATGCAAAATGAATCTCATAAGCTTAATTTGCAGTAAATGGCTTTGGTCACTTTGGTTTATTATATACTTCAGACATAGCATATTTCTTGCAAAATCTATAAAAGATTGTCCAAAACTGTTATTATACATTTTTCACCTGTATAAATAGATTAGCTTTCACATTGGGTGAAAATGTACGTTCACCTTTACAACTGAGCCCAAAATGTGTTTTCCTTCAAATAACCTGTTGCAATTTTTTTCCCTTAAAAAATAGTGATTAAAAATAATTAAAAGAATCACTGTTTATACACAAAAGTATGTTCTAATCTCTTTATTGAACAGGGTGGCTTTTTATTTTCCCACTGGCTGTACTTCTCTGTGAAATAAATATATATGTTTCAAAATGAAAATAGTAAATAGATTAATATATGTGGGGTGGCATGGGGGAAACAGAAATGTGGGTATCATAATGTATACCTTGTTTTAAAATGTCAAATTTCCTTTAATCACAATTCATTTAGCCTAGTGAAAAAACATAATTGGAGGTTAAATGTGCCACACCAGGCATGCAACAGCTAACTGTATTTCACTTCAGACGCTCACTCCAGTGAAAAACTAAGTAGCCAATACCTGGTCGACAGGGATTAAGTTACAATGGACAAGTGAATCACACAATTATTATGTACCACTTAAGACTCGCTCGAGCATTGTTATCAGATTAAGCCACGCACATGCATACTCGCTGTTTAGAGGCGGCCAATTAATTACAGAAGTTGGGAGACAATTCCGTAATATTTGCAGTAGAATATATCCAGGTGCACAACCATATGACCTCTATTTACACATTCGAAACACAACAGCATATCTAAAAAACGAGGGTGTGCCATATTTATTTTCAAGTGGTCCACTTACGCTGAGAACTTTACTTACCGATAACATTTTTGTCCGTGTCTTGACACGAGATGCGGCTACCACTGCCACCTTGTTGCATCCGTAACATTGAGAATTTTTTGTCTTCTTCTGTGATATTGCACAAAAAATCAAAATATTGAGCTCGTACTCAAGGGAAACTCTTCGTCTGCACTTTCCATGTTCTACAAATCAGCTTTTGTTCATCTGTTTTCTGTTTACTTTGGCTTTTATAACTCACTCTAAAGTGCTTCCATACACTCCGTGTGTTTACATAGGAAATGTCTCCGTGTACGCAAACCTGTGTAGCGAACATCCAGCGCGTTGGATAGACACTAACGCGTGGAATACCTGTTCTACTTCCGGTGAGAGATATGAAGGCATTACCATTATGGCTACCACGAGGGTTGCTTTAACTAGAACATTCTTGAACAAAAACGTGTGTAAAGTATGTCCGACTGAATCAAAAGAGAATGCCATAAGATTTGCCTCATCACACAGGAACTTTTCGTCTGTACTGTCAGGCTCTCCAGTTTGTCGATCTTTTGGTAAGCGAGACTTCACTGGAGTGATGCAAAACCTCGTTATTCAACAGTGCCATGGCCAAGGTCATTTCATCATTAAAGTCAAGTTTACTGTGTGTAGTTTGTCGTTCGAAATGTGCAAAGATGATTCACTATGATATATTGTATTTTTTTCAATCTGATCATGGCGTATTGCATAAGACTTAAAGAAAATGCAAACTGATTTTAGTATCGTTGCAAACTTTGTGCTTTCTGTCTTGGCGTCCTTGTCTCGCCGGTAAACTTGTATGCTACTTGCTACGCACTGATGAAGCTACCACTATAATGTATGTGCCAACACTCCTATCAGTGGTCTTTTATATATAGTATACATGCTAAACCAAAAAGATAAGGTGCACATAGCTGTATAAGGTAACATAACTGTTGGGTACTAGTAGCAGGTCTTCACAATGTAGATGCTCTCACGTCTTTATCCTATCTCTAGCCTCTTCAAGTCTTACACTGCTGAAAAGCCAACCAATCTCAAGGAATTTTAATTCCCAAGCCAAATGTGCAGATGTAATTATATCACAGGTGCTAAGCTCACAAAGGACCTGATGTCTTGGTGCATTTTATGGCTTGTTTGAAAGTTTGCTTTTTGGTGTGAAATCTGTGACATACTTCACAGATTCAGAAGTTTTGTCTAATCCTCTTTTCAGTTTTCTGTGAAACAAAATCCCGACATACACAATGTCGAAATTTCCATAGCACAGGACCCACACATAAGCAAGATTACTACGAGGTCTTAGGGGTATCAAAGGGGGCTTCCCAGAAGGAAATCAAGAAAGCATACTACCAGGTGAGATATAGAACTATTGATATTATTAGATATCTGTGGTTCAACTCTCAAAACCACCCTGAATCTGTAGTACAGAGAAAATGAAAAATTTACTGAGTATGTGGAAGCTCTGGATGTGCTAAGATTGTATTCTCTCACTAGTAAAAGTTTTGCAAAGCAGATTTACATGTAAAATGAACAACTTATAATAGACATATTGATGCTATGGTGTGGACTTAAGTTAATAAGTTGCCTAAGTGGTAAAGGTACATAGAACACTGTGATTGTTTAAAGAAGCTATTTAAAACTTGCTTTTCAATGCAGGTTTATAATTTCTGTTTTTATAAAATTACTCCATTGTTTTAGCTTGCCAAGAAGTACCACCCTGACACTAACAAAGGGGACAAGAGTTCTGCCAAGAAGTTCCAAGAGGTCGCTGAGGCATATGAGGTAAGATTCAATTGATAGTATGTGAAGTAGTTAAATACAGGTGTGCCCGTACTCAAACACCCACATACAAGTGTGTGGTATAACGAGGGCTCTGAATGAGATTTAAAACTGCTTTTGCAAATAATCAATGCAGTGTAATAGTGCATTATTCACAGATGTTCTTAAAAGCTAATAGCTCTCTCCTTCTCTCTCTCTTACCCCATGTCTCTCTCCCTTTCCCTCTCTTCCTCCCCCCCCCACCCATGCACCTGTACGTGCATGCACACATTTAGATATTTTGCCTCTGTTAACAAATCTATCTTCATGTATTTTTATATTCTCCAAATTTTTGTAAAGCTTCAGTCTCTATTCCTTTTAAGATCTTATTATGCAGAATACATAGAATTACATGTAATTTGGACAACCAGTTATTTGAGGTTTTATTTTGATATTCTAGGTGTTAGGAGATGAAAGCAAAAGAAAACAGTATGACACGTATGGCATGTCCGGAGGGCCTGGAGGAGGGAGGGGGCCAGGACAAGGTTTCCAAGGTGAGTGATAACATAGTGATTCACGTTGTCTGTGAGGTAGGAATTTCAACCCAGGAAGGGTTGAGATCTTAGGAAGTCTTGTAACACAATTGATGCATTAGTGCTTTGAGAGGTTGAGGAGAGGAATGAACAGTACTTGGACTAGGTAAGTGATAAGTTACGGACTTACTACATCTGGGAAGGATGGAGGGGTTTTGCCAGAGCAGTGACATGGTTTCCAAGGTAACTGGGGACCCAGCTAAAACATGGGGCAACCATTTTGAGATTGGCTGAAATTATAGACCATGATGCTCTGTTGCTAAAATCAATCTTGAAAATTTTCAAAAATTAGACTAAGATGAATAATTTGAAAGTTTTAATTTCAAATAACAAAATGGCAGTTTGACTACCTTTGTGAAATACTCATTGTTTTAGTTATCCTTAAAGACTACATACATACCTCCTTGTAACACATTACACTCTGCACAGATTTCTGAAGACATTATTCTTTATATGTTTTCATCATGCACCCTCAAGTCCAAATATATCTTTTTCTCTAGGATTTGAGGGTTACCACTCCAATGTTGACCCTGAAGACCTTTTCAGAAAGATATTTGAAGATATGGGCTATAAGATGGGAGGCTTTGATGACTATCAGGATTTCACGTCGTCCCCATTTGGCTTTAGGCCAGCCCAAGAGGTAAGCACATTTTAGTTCAGTTGCATCTAGGAGTGTCTTCCATCCCATTAAATGTGCCATGTTTGTCAACTCGACATCTAACATCCAGTTGCCACTCGAACATTTCTATTGCTATTGTAAACCTTTTTTTTTTCCTTTCTAGTACACTATGAACCTAACATTTGAAGAAGCGGCCCGTGGGGTAAACAAGGATATCAACGTGAACACAGTGGAGGTGTGCTCCACATGTAATGGTTCCAAGGCAGAACCTGGGTCAAGTCCGCGTCGCTGCCATGTCTGCAACGGCACAGGAATGGTGGGTTTGAAAGAGCAACTTTTCTATTGCTTCTTGATGTTTTTAAGATGATTTGAAGAAAATACATTGATATTAAAGTTAAGATATGATTAGTGCCACAAAAGTAAAGTTCAGTTCAGTTCTTGTATATTGCACTCGGCATGTGTCTCAGTGTGGTTTACATTTTATGCCCGTTCATTTTTGACCCTGATACACACTGGATGTTGATATTTTCACCTCCCAGGGGGGATACTTATTTCTAATTTATTTATGTTTACTCATTTTAAATTTATGAGTGGTTGTCAAGGACTCCATCTGATTCAGTTTTTGAGTAGTAATAGTGCTGATGTTGTTTTACATTTCAGGAAACCGTCACGACCGGTCCTTTTATGATGCGCTCAACATGCAGGACGTGTCGTGGGACGCGCATGGTCATAGATAAGCCATGTTCTGCATGCAACGGCAAAGGTTCTGTGAACATGAGGAAGCAGGTAACAGTACCTGTTCCTGCAGGTAAGGTGTTCGCTAACATCTAGGTTATACTAAATGGCGATTGTATTTATTATGGTTTTAACTGGAATGGTTGCTAAGTAGATGCATGCTTCCCAATAAATGTAATGCGTGTTAGATCTTATATTGTTTTTGACTGTCATGTATATATTTAAACACTGATTACATTCAAAGAAGAACAATTAAACATTTTTTTAATTTAGCAGTTTTAATTAAATTTTTTATTATCTTAAGTGTTTTTAATGGATATGCTTAGATGTATGATGTATCTTGATATACTGTATATTGCTGGTGTTGATTTAATTTTACTTCATTATGATTTTAATTATTTATCTTTTATTCATTAACACAATATTTTATTCTAACCCCTGAGAGGGCCATGTATAAGATATGTGCAATCACCTAACATGTCTTATCCTCTTTAAATAAAGTATGTTATTATTATTATTATTATTATAAGTGATACTTAAAAAACTTTCTACCCTTTTATCACAGGCGTAGAAGATGGACAAACAGTACGAATGCCAGTTGGCCAAAAAGAAATATTTATCTCATTTAGGGTAAAAATTTTTTTATTTTTACATAGAATAAGTCAATATCACAAAGTAACTATAAAAATATGATAAACAGTAGTTATGCTTTAATGTAGAGTATGCATGCTTTTCTTTCCCCCTGAAAATGAAAGATGCATTGTAGGCAAAGTTTGTCAAAGTATTTTTGATTTCTTCATTTTTTCTGAAAAGTAATTATGTTTACATCAATTTTCCACAGGTCTCCAAGAGTCAAACATTTCGCCGTGATGGTGCTGATGTCCACTCAGACACATGGATAAGTTTATCACAAGCTGTCCTGGGGGGTACCGTGAGGATCAGAGGGATTTACGACAGCATTTTGCTCTCTGTAAGTTTCAGGGGCATATATTTACAGCATTCCACATACTGCCAAAATATGTAATTTTATTATCTGTGTTATATTCTGGGAGCAATGCAGTGGCTTATTCTTAAACAGGGGAAGAGGTAAAAGTTTCTTAATACCAATCCACCACCTCCCTTAAACAGCTTGGCAAAAATGTGCACTTGGAAGGGTTATCTTTACCTGTGTTTATTAACAACTGTTGAATTTTTCTTGATGAGATTAATCAAGGATATTTTCTTCTTCCAATCTTGAAAAGTGCACTTTTGTGTGCTCATGGAATTGTTTTGTTTTTCAGATCCCTGAAAAAACATCCTCCCACACCAAGATCCGTTTGGCTGGCAAAGGAATTAGTCGGCTAAATTCCTATGGCTATGGAGATCATTATGTTCATATTAAGATTAAAGTTCCTACGTAAGTTTACCAAATGTTTCAAATTAAATAGAAATATTCAGTGGTGATAATGACCAAAAGAACAGAAAGATTATTTGCATTGTAACTTTTGTATCAGCAAAGTGAGATTATACAGAACACACATATACTTTGTGAATTGTAATTTTAAAAAATGTTGAAAGGTGTTGACGGATACTAATTTAAATGATGACAAACTGTTAGTGATAATAGAGAATTATAGAAGTGTAGTTGTTGGTTTATATTCTGAATGTAGTATTTAAGTATTCAGCACTATTTGGTACATTTGAAAACATTTGAAAAGTTGATACAAACACCATCATGATTTTGACTTAAAGTTACTTTTCCCTCTTTATAGAAAGCTGACAGAAGAACAGAAATCACTAATGTTAGCCTTTGCTGAAACTGAGGATGTTGGTGATGGCACAATTAACGGAGTAATACATGCGAAAAAAGGTCAGTAAACAGAAAGATAATGGGACATCCTATTAATTGATTCTACTTTTCTTTTAGTGATCATTCTACTTGACCTTGATTAGGACACTTATGCACAGAAGTATACTGAAAATTTAATATGGCACTTAACTGTTTTTTTTTTCACTTTCTATGAGTTCTCTGCTTTCTTTTTTCTCCCATCCCCTGTGTTGCTCTCTTTCCCTCTCTTTTTTTCTCTTTGTGACCCTTAATTATCTATTGATTATACAGTTACAATATGTATAATTTCAAGGAAAACCAATATAAGCAGTATGTTATAAGCAAGAAAAGACAGCATTGAATAACATGTGGCATTGTTCTACCAGACAATTACATGGCAGATTCTTCATATTTGTTGATCATTAAAATCCATTGAAATAAACATTCAGCACATTCAGAACAGATGATCCGCAGACTTCCTGATCCACAGACTAAATATGGCCTACCCCACTAAATAGCAAGAAGGCCTCCCTGCCCCCACATGGGCCATTAAACAGATTCAATCCTGGCTTCAAGGTTTAATTGCTAGGCCCTTGCAAGGACAGCTCGAGTGGAGACGGGGAGGCCATCAGAGGATTTAGTCAGCATTGCTTTTAAGTGGGTTGGCCATATTAGATCTGAGGATCTGTTAGTCCCTGGATCAACTTGTTCTGAATGTGCTCATTGTCAGTCTGTGACATTAGACACTGGTCTGTTGCAACTGGTAAAAGACCAATAAAGACTTTAAAGTTTTAAAGAATTTAGTCCAATCTGATGAGTGCGAACTTATGGGGTTGTTTAAGGTTCATGTTTTCTGGGGTCTGCTTGTGTGAGTGACCTTTTGGCTAAAAGGAATTTGCAGACTGTAATGGAATTATGCCTCTATATACACTCACCCCAAAAAGTTTGAAACTTTGTTTTTAGCATAATGATAATAATAATAATTATGATAATAATAAAATATTAACCATATGATCTAAGTTAAATATTTCAACCAAATATTGATATATAATGCACCCACCATTCGTTACTTTTTTATATACACTGAAGATTTTCCCACTACATTACATAGTCTTTTAATTATTGAAAAACAATTTCATGTTACTGAACTGGTTTGGTCGAGTATATGACTCTCCACACTGACCACGCCCCGGTTATCTTTACAGGTCCGGGTGGTGAAGACAGTGTGAAGGGGGACGTGCACCCTGACAGTGATATTGATGACTCATTTCTAGGGAAAATTAAGAAAAAGATATTTGGATGACCACAGTTCAGTTTTAGGTATGACTGTTCAATACTGCAACTAAAATTTTTATAGTAATTTGTTTTTGTCTTGACTAAGATCCTTAAGTGATCCAAGGCCATGTTCTTGTCTGACACAATGCTGCATGTTGCATGTAAGAAGACTGGGAAAATATGTTTTGTTTGTTAGTTCTTTTCCTTTTCCTTCAAGTCTGAAATGTAGTTGTATCAGTTTATTTTTTTAACTTGCAAATCTGAAATTCTTACACCCTTTACATCTTAAAAAATTGTCTAATTGCTAGAAAAAGGTTGCCTCTGTCTAAGATAATAACTAAAGACATAAACGATTTTTTAAATATCCATTTAGTTTTTTATTGATATAATAATAAATCAGCACAAAATCAAAGATATGATGTTTAATAATTATGTTTTATGAACATACATGCAATAAGCTAATTGTACAGATTAAAAGAAAGCAGTCAGAAAAGTATCAGTGGATATTTTCTGTCAGCTTTTATCCTTGCTACCCTCGCCTGCCATTATTACTGACATCATAGTCTTTTAAGTTCTATGAAAGCTTGAAACACTTTGAGCTGTCTGTCTTAGGATTACCATTCAGGAAGTTCCAACTTATAAAATAGAATATATGTAGGAATTACCATAAGTATCAATAGTATGTTATAGAGCATGCTAAGAATTCAACTTTGCATTGATTTAGTTATCAGTTTATTTTTGTAATACAGAATGAAATTATTTTGTAAAGAATTTTTTGAAACTCATGGCAGCCCTGTCGCAATTAATGATTCACAAAAGTATTGAATTTCACTCTTTATCTTTCCAGGAAATAAAGCAGTTAATGACACAGAATATTCACACACGAGAAAAAAGACAGAAGACTTTGAGCCTGAAAATGAAGAGATCAAAAATAAATTATGAAAATGAGATATCTGATACGGGTTTTATAGAAACGTGTTCCAGGATAGGAACTGCATCTGTGAAGGATATTTTGGCGACAAAAATTGAACCACAGATGTTGAAGAATTAGACTGGCACATCATTCACAAACTCCATGGAACTGTTTGTTAAGTTAATGGAAGGAACTTACTTAGTTATTGTGAAGCAGCAAAAAAATATGGAGCACTTGCTGTCTAATATATCGAAAATTTGAAATCAATTAACTCTATGTGATGTCCATAAAATGTCATATTTAGATATGTCATGATATCTCATTTAAAGAAGCAAGTCGTTGTATAGAGTATAGAGACAAACAATATTCCACAATTGAGTTACAATGTCTGTATTCTCCATATATTGCTTAAAGGCATTTTTGATCATTCTGAATCTGTTAACCCAGTGCAGTACAACACTTACATCAGTCTCATTTATTGCATTGTTAAGATTATTTGTTGGCTTTACATGTGTCTGTATCTTTAAAACTGACATGATATGACAAGTCACTGGTGTAGATATGACTTGTCATTTTTAAAACAATATACATTTGCCAAAGTAGAGTGCTCTCACCAAAAGTTACTTATAATGGCTAATATTAAGACAATGGTGCATGTTGGCTTTTTGATACCGGGACATAGTGGTAAAGTACTGTAAGATGTTTTTATAGGGCTTTCTTGATGCATAACATTGTACGCATTTAATACCTGTACTGAACTTTTCTTTAGTTCTTTATTATGGGTTTGTGTCACTGTTGGAGAGAATCGCTGATTAGAATATTTGAAATAGCTTGCTGGTACGCCTGAAACATTTCATTACGGACGCATTGTTATGTACATTTAAATCTATGCTACATTATCCAGTTCTAGGTATTTTATTATCACCTTGCCCAGTTGGGCAGCTCGTGATTGCTGGCATTGTAATTGAAATAATACTGTTAATGCATTAAAAAGATACGCCATAGTGAACATCGACAACCTGGCATATATTCCACAACGTCTAAATCGACGATATTATGACCCCCTTTCCAGAGATTAGATTGATCTACTTTAGATCGACCCAACTCCCTGGGGGTTCACGCTAAATAGCTGTCAGTCGAGCGGACAAGAAAGTTAATTACCCCTTTACAGCTTGTAGTAGGCGGGACGGACATTTAAGCCGGATTATCTGACAGTAATCTAGTGAGACTCCCCGCGGGGATAGATCGATATAAAAGCTCTGGGAATACAGCCTTAGATTGGAGTGTCAAAAGTGAACCACAAGGCCTTAATTTATCATTCAAAACTGCAAATTCAAATACTCCATTACTGTAGATCCACCATACGCTCAGCCTCCAGCGAAGTCTGCATCACTATTTAGTTTGCGTCCGATTCTGTGCATGCTGATTTGGGGTTTGACCTTTTTTTTGAGGGGGGGGGGGGGAGTTCTCAGCTGCCACGACGTGGTCATGATATGTGGTCAGGTGCAACAATTGGTGTGTTCGGTAATTATTCCGTCAGTTTCACCCGAGGCTCAGTTGTGATCAAGAGATCGGTGAAGATGCACCTGGATGCACGAAACGGTTCTCGAGCAAGAAAGGTAAATTGCTATGGGTCTACGCAAAATTTACTTTCTAATTAGTGGCAGAAACGGTATTCTCAGTCTGTCTTGTAAGTCGGGTACGTGAAAAGTCTTGGACATACCTAAAGTTGTATACGGTGGACTGTCCAGGGGAGACGAGCAAGTTGCTCGTTGAACACCTAGTTTAGTTCTACTGCAAAAGTCCGGCTTTGGTAGTTAAAGGAGGCAATAGGATCGCTGGGCATTTGGCTATATTTCGATGGCTCAAGAGAGGCACGCAAGTCGCGGCTCGGTGAAAATGGGGCCTAAGATGATTGGGCAGTTGTAATCTGTATAGCTCTATAAACGTGGGATACATTTTGCTTATTGTTCTTCGGCGCCACTTTCAAAGTGGGGAGATTGCACGCTACCACGCACCAACCAGAGTATTCCATCTTTGCATGGTACATGCAAATCGTGTGTGTGGTAGGTTGCAGGGGAATTTTCATACACGACAATGAAAGTGATTGCACGTTTTGGTTCACGTCCTTGAGGCTAACAAATGTTTTTTTGCTGTCCCAACCGGGTCTCGCAGACGAACGCCTGCCACCTCGACTCTCTCTACCTGTTCTGGTTCTGTAAGCCGTGCGTCCTTTGGCAATTAAAAGAAATATATGTTCGTAGTTTTTCTCTATTTAATGAGTAGTTCCATGACCTCGAAAAATTAACGGTTTTATGTGTAAACGCCGTCATATGTAAAGACGGTTATTCATGCCCGTCGAAACCAAGAGAAAAGAGTCGGTCATCATTCATCATTTATTGCTTTTCGAATCCTCGTGAACTACGGTAGCACGCGGGGTTCATTTGATCACATTGCCATACATATACAGCTATTTTAACTCCTAATACGGCGTAAGTCTATCCACTCCACTGTACGCCAGTGCACTGGACCACAGTTTGGCTTGAGGTGAGGTCGGTATGTACTGGAAAGTCCGGTAAGGTATATCAAATAGATAGGTAACACTCAACGTTTTCCAATTCGAAAATTTACCGCAAAATCAAATTTTTCGAGAAAGGCATTTTTCTTCTACCCACTGCTCGACTCATCCCTGCACTGGATTAAAATCTCTGCTAATAATATGTTGTAAATGACTGAGCTAGTCAATAAGACTGCCGTGTCTTCTTGTACTTCTTAGAAGGAAGCATCCACATCAGGTTTAATTTGAGGGGTTTTATCACTTTTTAGGTCTGAATTGACATGGTAAATACCTTTGCAGGGGACATCGAAATTTTTTTGGGGGCATACATTAAAATAATTCTCACAAGATTTATCCGCAAAAAAATCTGAAACATAAGCGTGCGTGATATAATTTTTCTCGAAAAGGATTTTTTCTCCCACTTGACACTCATTTCTCCACCCGCCTTGTGCTTGGATACGATATTTTATTTCACTTTGATTTGATGGTTTAGTTCTAAATTATAGGCCGGTCATGTAATTGATGTGGCCTCGTTTTCACTGCATGACAAATATGTAAAATAAATAAAAATATTTTTTAAAGGAAAGAAGGACAGAAATGAGGCGGCGTTTTGTATTGTAGCATTTGATCGTACATAATATTAGTACACACGCTTTTATTTTTCGCAAAAAATGTTTCGGGATGTCGGATGAGAAGATAATGATGTCAACACTGAGCACGCCTCAGATAAACTTACTTTTGGTCTGAATTGAGAAATATAGGAAGCTTTGCAGGATAAAAATTACCTTTAGACATACACTTGTGAAGCATATTAAATGTTGACAGCGATTGAATTAATGAAACGGATTTCGATCGGTCTTTTTACTATTAATTATCGAAAAATGTTTGTAGAAATTTAAAAAGCAATGACGAATCCAGGGGTGTTCTCCCTCCCAAAATAACAGCTTGTATAACAATTAAAACCGCCAAAACCTAGTTATTTTTCCAGCTCCGTATCCTATATTCTGTACTGTAGTGAAATTGCCCTCGTCTACTGTTTTATATTTGTCTCGCTTCTCTGTAAAGAATATTGTGAACCTTAACCCCACCCACCCCTTTCCTCGCCAAAATTCTGGATCCACCAATTAGCACGCTTTATGTTGCACTATGATACGTATATAATTTCGCATTAGACTTTCATTTGTGAATTTTTAAAAACAAAAAGTAAATAAATGAAAAAGGAAGGAAGGAAGAAAGAAAGAAAAAAATCTAAGGACTGAGATCATCGTGAGATCACCTAGAATTGAGCTGTTCTAAACCGGACTGTTACTACTAGAATATTTAGTACACGCAGGCCTAACCAACTACCAGACTCGGCACCTAAGGATCCTGAATTAACCGGTATATCGGACCACACTACCCGTTTTCAAGGTGTGCGTCAGATCGCATTTCGGAGTATCAGTCAGAACACCGACAGGATGAGCCCATGCTCGGCTGTCACCTTGATTGGATAGTAAACGATTGTCGTATTTAATCGCTATATGATTTTAAAACCGGGTGCATAAATTTGAAAGCCACCTAGATGATCCTTAGACTGCCACATTAATCTAATACAATGCAAAAAAGCCCTATCAAAAGTGGTTAAAACATTCAAACCGAATGTCGTAAAGTCCCCATATACTCCGAAATGCGATCTGACACACACCTTGAAAACAGGTAGAGTGGTCCGATATACCGGTTATTTCAGGATCCTTAGGTGCCGAGTCTGGTAGTTGGTTAGGCCTGACACGGGAACGTTCACGTTTGCCACTGGTGCCCTAGAAATGGGGTTAACTGTCCTCGCTAAATGATACATGTTCCCCGCTAGCAGGAGATATACTGTGGCACCTCCAAGACACCGTATCAGGTAAAACATTGGCTGCCATACATGTAGTTTAGTTTACATTTAAGTTCCAATAACTCAGTTGCTCTCTTTGTTGTACTTGTTAGGTTAACAACTGATTTATAATTTGAAAGATCTTATAACCATGTTGTCCTTAAATCGCCATATAAAAGATACTCAAGCAAAACGTGGACTTCTGTTTCAATCACACCCCAGTTGCTTCATGGGCATAAACTTGATGCTTTAACTTGACCACTTTAACGCCACCTTTCACTATATGTTTGGAGCATCGAAAACGAGCAAGTGTCGGCTACTAACAGAGGACTAAAATACTACTAGTATATTGTTTTTTGTACAACTTGTACATCAGGTGGGTCATAAAAAATGTTACTTATTTCAAAGTTAAATAAGTACTGTAGTTTTGTAGATATTGCAATGAAATTAGAGATATTTGGCATTTTTACTTAAGATTTTAATTTTTCAGTGTGTCACAAAATAATCCCAAATTCCACTGCAATATCTTCAAAACTGTTGAAGTTAGTAAGCTTTGAAATTGGTAGCGGTTTAATGAGCCTCCCGATTCATGAAGATAAAATTTATTACAACCGGGCAGTTTGTCGCATTATGTTTGAAAATCATAAACTAAACATTCTTTTCATAAATATGGTGCACATTAACTGAAATTGTATTGTTTGGCTTCTTTTAATTTACCCCTCATTTTTAGTCTATCCCCTCAAACTAACTAAAACGTGCCTGATGCTGTTGCTTATCGCATACGCAAACATTTTCCCTGTGCTCGTTTACCCGATGTACCCGGCCATGACGTAAGCCTACTGCTACCTGGTGTACTGACGGTAACATGGTAGCCTATGTACCTGTATTTAATATCTCTCTGTCACACAAACCCTGCATTAATATTTGGGGGCCCATATTAAAATGCCAGGGATACCCGAAAGTATTCGAGGCACGGAAGTGATCTACAGGTACCTAATTGAGGCATTTTGACTGTCATTATAGTGAGGCAGAATATTCCC